CTGTCCTGCACTGCTCTCCAGGCGTATTTCTCTCCATTCCTGCTGCAGGTTGTGTTTTCTAATGTGATGTGTTTATTTTATTCTAGTCATCATATCCTTGATGTCTTGTTTCTGTTGTTTTCCAGTTCTTTTCCCAGTTTAAATTTTAACAGCATGTTTAGAGTCTTTAAACAACTTGTGATATGCCTCTTTCAGGCATCTTTCTTAAAACAAGGTCACTCATTCATTCTGTCATTTAATGCATGAGCTAGTTCTGGCTGTGGAGTATCTGTACTACTTAGGATCTCTTGACTTTTGTTTCTCTCCCTGTATATCTAGCTTTTCTCCTTTTATCTAAGGACAGAGACAATTTTTAGTCCTTTTACAGGACTGAATATGAAGTTAATTTTAGTATACAGGAGTTGATAATCTTCTAAAATCTTCACATGTGGGTGAATTTGGGAAATCAGATTTCTTTCAAGTTTTAGAAGGACAATAAGCTACATATAACTTGATGTTTAACAACTAGCAAGACCTGAGTAACACTTTGCAATTAAATACATTAAATGTTTTTTTGGGAGACAGGGTCTTGTGTATTATATTCTGGTATTGAACTCACTATTTAGCCCATGCTGGCTTTGACTGCCTGGTGATCCTGTCTCAGTTTTCCAAGTGCTAAGATTTTTTTTTTTTTTTTTGGCCTTTTTGAGACAGGGTTTATTATACAGTTCAGGCTGACCTTGAACTCAGTTTGTAGCCCTAGCTGGCCTGGAACTCTCAACAATCCTCCTGCTTCAGCCTCCCAAGTGCTGGGATTGATTACAGGCATGTGCCACCACATCCAACTTCTGGCTGAAATTTTTGTTAAACATTCTCCAGGTGGATTGAGATCAGAATCCTATATTTCAGCAAAAAAATGATTATTTACACTAAAATGTGATGTAGACTGCAGTCCCCTACATGCCAGTTCAGGGCAGATATGATGTTGCTACCACGTGAGCTACAAATGAAAAGACGATAGGGCTTGGGGTTGTGGGGGTGTGGGTGATGGACCTAGGCTTCACAGATGCTAAGTGTATTCTGAAGTTACAGAGCTGGAACTGCCATTCTTGTCTTGTGTACAGTTCTGGGTCCTTTTCCATCTTCCTGTTCTGGGTATTAGCTCCCACTTCTTTCCAACATTTGTCTTGTTCATCACTTTATTTCCGTCATTCCTGTCCCCATACGGCTAATTTGGTATCACTTGTGAGTAGTGTGTTTGTGAGCTGTGACTAATTTTTCATACCTTGAAACCTCAGGATTATTATAAGAGAGTGGGACAGTAATGTAGTCAGTGCTGAGCTGAACGTGGGAAGAAGGCATTTCAGTTCCTTCTGTGCCATCTTCTCTCAGAAATACTTTTGGGAGGAGGGAAAATGTGATGTGGAAGCTAAACCTATGAAGCTTACAGAGCTTTTTTTTCTTCAAATTTCAATTTTTATTAGTACATGTTTGCAATACATATGATTACCTTGCTTGTGGAGAGTTTGTACATGTGTATAACACAATTTTTTCATCTCTTTCCCCTCCCTTCCCCTGCCTGCATTTCCTGGGCCCTTCCCATTTACAGAAAGATATATCTCCCTATTTCCTGATATTTATTTTTTATTTTGATGTTTTATTTTGGATTCCTCATAAAAGACAAACCATGTAATATTTAAGCTTGTGTATCCAGTTTATTTTACTTAACATTTTTATCTCTAGATAGATCCATTTTCCAATACATAACTGAGTTTATTCTTCTTTGTGACAGAAGTACTCCATTGTATGTAAATAACACATTATTTTTATTCATTTACCTATTAATAGACATATAAGCCACTGCCAAGATTTAGCTGTTGTGAATTCTGTTGCTATAAACATGGGTATGCATGCATCTCTGATGTGTCTTTAGTTCTTTTGGGAAGATGCGTAGAAGTGGGATGGCTAGGTCAAATAGAATTATGCTTTGGAGGAATGTACATCCTGATCTCCATAGTGGTTGTGCTAGTTTATACTCCCACTAACAGTAGAGAGCCCCCTTTCTCCAGCCTCACTAGCATTTGTTTTTATTTGAATTCTTAATGATAGCCATTCTTTCTGGAGTAAGAAGGGACCTCAATTTTATTTTAGTTTACATTTTTCTAGTGGCCAGAGATTTGAATGTTTTTTCATGTATTTATTGGTCATTTATACTAAAATTCTGAGAAAAGTTTATTCATTTCATTTACCCATTTTTCAGTTAGGTCTTTTGTTGGGGGGTGTTAATATTTTTTAATCATTTATGTATTCTAGATATTAGTCTTCTGTCCAAGAAATTCCACTTTACAGAGCTATTGATAAGGCTTCCCTAGAAGTTAGACATTCTTAGCCTATAGAGATGTTTCAGATTCTTCAAGACCTATTAAAAAATCTAGTATGTCTGACTTCTCAGACTGAGTTTTTCACATTTAAATTTTACTTTTCCTATGTAAAGCTGCCATTGACCATCTCATGATCAGTATAGTACATGCTTTTCTGGCTTATGTATTATCTGTGTGTGTGTGTGTGTGTGTGTGTGTGTGTGTGTGTGTGTCTGTCTGTCTGTCTGTCTGTCTCACTGGCTCTCTCTGTATTCCCTTCCTCTCCCCTGTTTCTACCTCTTTGAGGCACTGGGAATTGAATCCAGTATCTTCACATCCCCAGCCTGCCTGCCTCCATTTATTTTGAAAGGAGGTCTCACTAAGTCACTGAATCATCCAAGCTGGGCTCAACATGGCAGTGTTCCTGCCTTAGCTTCCCAGAATGCTGAGATTACATGTATGCCTTCTCCCACGTGGCTGCATTCTCTTATTAATAAGTGACACTTTGTTAAATTGTGTATTAGACTTAAAATGTCCCAGTGTTAGGGCCCGGTTGTGTTCGGTTGTTTTGTTCATATAGCATCTTGCTATATAGTTCAGACTGGCCTCAAACTCATTGTGTAGCCCAGGGTGACTTCAAACTCAAGATTCTTGTGCCTCATCTTGCTGAGTGCTGAGATTATAGCATGCATCTCTGTACCCAGCAGATCTGAAACATGAAATAGATGTGACTCATGTGTAGGCCCATGGTTTTTGTTTTGTGTTTTAAAATAACTGCTAGGTTTTTGTTTTTGTTTGTTTGTTTTGGACTTTTTAAGCCAGGGTCTCACTATGCAATTCAGGCTGGTTTTGAGCTCACTGTAGCCCCAGGCTGGTCTGAGTTTGCAACACATCTTCCTGCCTCAGCCTCCCAAGTGCTGCCGTCACAGGGATGCACAACCACGCCCAGCAATAATTACTAGTTTTTCGTGGGGATGATGATTGGCAAATTTGCTGAAATGGAGCCACATTAAATAGGCTGTGTGTATTTTGTGACACTTGGTAGAGCTCAGTAATATTAGGATGTGGGAACTAAAACATTACATTTACATTGTAATGCTTTTTAAATCGGGAAACTCAAATCAGCAAAGCTGTAGAGAAGTTAAGTGTCTGCTTCAAAGCACAGATAAAGAATAATAAAAGCAGAACTCATGTTTCTTGTGGGTTTTTTTTCAATCTTACGTGGTTTCTTTTTGATATTAGAATTAACATTCTAGTTGACTCTCCCTATCCCATTGAAGCAAATTTGGTTATCTTTCTGTATGTGGAAAACCTCTGCCTGGTTTTACTCTAAAAGGGTGAAAAACAATCATTTTGCTTGTCAATGCTGCCTTGATAAAATTATGATTTTGCAAGCTATCCAGGTAATAAATGACTAGAAATGGTCAGTGATGAGACTCTCTGTAGCCTATTGTATGTGTCTTAATTTGATAACACCAAACCAACTTCAGTTATGCTTTTGCTGTATAAACTCAGAAAGCAAAAGTACAGTAAGGAAGCATGAGAAGTTGTATTCCACTCCCACATAGGATTCTCCAATCTTTGGAGACCCCACCATGTCTGATTGATAGTGTATGAAGGACCATATTTTCTGTTTTAATCTGCCTCTTGTGATTGCACAGAAGTAAAACTGACTACACAAAATGATTTTTTAAAAAGGATATGCCAGTTGGAATTTATGAAATTAAAAATTAGGTTTTAATTGGAAGTTCTTAACAGAGGAAAAACAAAACGACCATCATTAAACCTCAAAGCTAAGGAGCTTTAGCCCTTCTGATGTGTAACGAAAATTCTGAATTTTCATGAAGTAGTGTTTACTCAGGAAAATAATCACCCAGTGGGGTAAATATACTCTTTAATTGTGCCTGCCCTTCTGTAACCAAGGTTTAGCCCTTTTCCTGAAGACCCTGTCCTGGAAAGTGCTAAGCTCAGAGATGTGTCAAGAGTTTCTCATTCCTTGTGTCATTGCACAGTTGCAGTTTGGAGTGTCCATGTAATGTAAGTTGTTATGTGCTCCCTGTCGTGAATGACCCTGGACAAGTCACTTTACTAGCCTGGGCCTCACATTACTCTTTGAAATACGAAGAGATTAAGCTGTGAGAGTCCATTCATTCTCTAAGGTTCTCTTTTCAACTGAATATATTTTTAATCGAATAATTTTTATTTGATATAGAAAGGAATAGCAGTACTCATAACCAAAGAAAGAAAAAAGAACAAAGGAACAAGAACTTAGGGTAAATTTGTTCATTGCCACCTTTTAGTCTTTCTTTCGCATTCTCTCTAGCCTTTTGGGAGAGAGTGTGTTGCTGGTTTACAGAAAAAAAAGTGGATTTCACATTCTGTATCATTTTAGACTAGACACCAGGGTCTTTCACCTGTCCTGAGCCTCACAGCAAGATACTGTTCCAAGTGTTTGAATCTTTTAGACGAGACATCATGGCCCTTTGCCTGTCCTGTATCCCACAGAAACCGCTAGTCTTGAGCCCCACAGGAAGATAATGTTCATGTGTTTCCATCGTAGAGTAGATACCAGCATCCCTCACCTGTCTTGAGTCCCACAGAAAGACATGTGTTTGGTTGGACCCATTGTGCAGTGTGACTATTCCTGTTCTGTTCTTTCAGCTCGGATTTACTTTTGGCAACGTGGTGGGAATGTATCTGGCTCAGAACTATGACGTAAGTGTCCATATTCATGTCTTACTTGATTCCATGTAACTATTCCATAGTTAGTCTCTTTTGTTTGTTGAGGTAGCTTGCTTAAGCGAGGCCATAAATCTGAAGGGAAAATCCTAAATTTTATAGAAAAATTTCTACTGTATTTGAAAAATACAATCTGTAATACACACTCAGTCCTCTGTATCACCACAAGAGGGCACGAGTCCATCAGTTAAAGTGGTTTCCGGAGGAGCCTAAGCTGTTGTGTGTGTTAGCCCAGCGTCATTCTAAATTGGGTCTGAGGAAAATCATGATCTGTGAACTTTTAAAGATTGATGATCTTTTCAGCTCCCTTGCCCAGTAGCAGACATGAGTTAGGATTTTGGACATGGATTAAACAGTGAAATGAAATTGCAGCATTAAGCTTATGTGTAAATGGTGAAGTTGAAGATCAGGTGGTGCATCTGCTCATGGTTAAGGATTCTAGAAAGTATTCTAAACAGACAAGCTAAGGAAACATGAAATTGTATGGTAAGGCTTTTCCTTTTGTCAGCCTTTGCTTGAGCTGTGGTTTTCTAGCAGGGGCTTTCTTTATATCACATTTACTGCTTACTTGTGTAGCTTTCACTTGTACTGGATTGAGAGCTAAGTGTTTCTCTACAAGTGAAAGTCAGAGTCTGGTTAGAGAGGGACCATTGGCTTAAAACTTTTGCAATCCTTTGCACTCAATTAAAGGCTAGGAAACAGCACTGTTAAGCAGATCTCCTTTAGAGGAAGAGAAACACTTGTGAGATCACTTATCCTTTGGAGGAAGAGCAGTCGAAGAATATTTAGTGGATGCATGCAAAATTATAATAATCCTTTTTTTCTGTTTAAAGATACCAAACCTGGCTAAAAAACTTGAAGAAATTAAAAAGGATCTGGAAGCCAAGAAGAAACCCCCTAGTTCCTGAGGCTGCTACAGCACTCCATTCTGTACACACTGGTCTTCTGCCCTGCAGCAGCCTCCCTGACCTGTTCCCACAATTTTTGTATTGTCTCCGGCATCAGCGATTTTCCTCTTTACTAGACTATGTTATTGCAGAGCAAAAACAGGGCCCCATGTCAAGAACTATGTGCAATTTCAGCTCTTCACATCTTCTCATGTCTTCCTTCCAGCTCTTCAAGAGACTCAAAGACTGGAACTATGGTGCTAGGTTGGCAAACATGACCTTATTTAGTAGTTTCTCTGTTGTTCTTTGAGATTCATATTTCTTGTCAAAAGAAAAATTGCAAAGTTTGTATAGCTCATCAGATACAAATAATGCTGAATTCTTAGTTTAGTGATTACAATGGGTGCTTGTTAAACATTTGTTACTAAATTTTTGTTTTGAAGTATTAAAACTAATATCTAGAACCCAGTTTCTAGTGAATTATCCATTTATTTTATACTTATCAGACAACTCCGTTGTCTCCGTTGATAACCAGTAAGTCAATTTTCTATTGATTAATTGAGAAAACATATTCTAAGAATCTTATAAATGGCTGGGGAATTTAAAAATGTGCAAAATAATAATTTTTGTCCCAATATGTTAAGTATGTATGTTTTTCCTTAATGGTGTAGTTGATCTGACTCTTCCTTCAAAAGAATCATTCTTGGATTACAGGTACGTTTGATATTACAGGATGAAATTGATAAAGAAATGATAATGACTTCACACATTAAAAAATTATTGCCAAATAAATATGTGAAAAAATGTTTTAACATTTTTGGTCATTCAAGAAATGCAAATTAAAACAACACAGATTTCATTTCACTCCAGAAAGAATGGCTGTTATCAGGAAATCAACCACTAACAAATGCTGGTGAGAGTATGGGGAAAAAGGAACTCTTCCCCAGTGTTGGTAAGAATGTGGACTGATATAACCACTGTGGAAATCAATGGGGGGAGCTTCATCAAAAATTTAGGATTGGAGGTCCTATTCCATCTAGCTATTCTTTCAGGTGTTTTCACAGAAGAACTGAAAACATCATACTACAGTGACATATGTGTATGTTGTTTACAGCAGCACAATTTGTAATAGCTAAATGTTGGAAACAACCCAAATGCCCATCGACCGAGGAATGGATAAAAAAGATGTAGTGTTTTTATACAACAGAGTACTACTCAGCACAAGGAAGGATAGACTCAAGGTTTTTATGGGTAAATGAATACAACTTGAGATCATACTCAAAAGTGAAATAAATCAGATTCACATGTACAAACATTGTATTGTAGTGTAAAAAAACTAGCAAGAAAGAGTAAATAAGATTCAAAAGGTATAATAGCTGTTGTGAAAGTGAAAGGGGAGGAAATTGCTCAAAAGGAAAGAACAACTGGGATATTGGAAAGGAGAAAAGAAAAAGGGGAAAAGTGTGTGTATATATATATATATATATATATATATATGCACACACACACATACACAAGATAGATAATTATACTGCTAATCTCCCTTCATCAAAAAGAATGATTTGTGCTTTCATTATTTAATCAATCTTTTAAGCCTATATTTTGTAATTCAAGCAAGTACTTTGAAGATAATATCCAATATATTAACAATTGTCAATCTATTGTCAGAAAATTCTGTATCATTTTTATTCTTTTTTCTTTAAAAAAAAAGTTTTGCTAGGTATGGTGGTACACACCTCTACTCCCAGCTCTCAGAAGTAAATAATAAAATTATTACATTACAACTCAGTCATTGTTTCATGAAAAGTATGAAAGATTTTATTATCTTTTTTTTTTGTTTTTGTACCAGGGATCAAACTCACAACCTCATGCTTGCCAGACATGCGCTTATGCCGCTGATCTAAACCCCCAGTCTGAAAGATTTTATTATCCAAATGCGTAATAAAATCAGCCAGGCATGGTGGTTTACATTCCTAATCCCAGCACTCAGAGACTGAGGCAGGAGGATCACAAGTTCGAGCTCAGTCTGGGTAACATAGTGACTTAGTGAGACTCACATATCTCAAAATGTCTCAAAATAGGACTGTAGCTCAGTACGAAGCCCAAGTACTACCACACACACACACACACTCGTGTGTGCACAGCACAGAAGCCTAGCTTATCAAGAATTTTGCTGCTTTCTGTAATGAGTGCTTTTTTCCCCCATAATCAGAAACTACTCTCTTTGTAATTTACAAATTATATAATGTTCTTTTTTTCCCTTTGGAGGTGATGTCTCACTATTTTGTCAGGCTGGCCTCAGATCCCCTGCTCTCAAGTGATCCTCCTGCTTCAGCTTCCTGGATGCAGAGACTAGCGCTAATTTGGTTGTATGTATATGAGAGAGAGAGAGACCGACAGACAGACAGGGTCTTTTTATTAAATTTCAGGCTGACCCCATGGCAGTCTTCCTGCCCCAGCCTCCCAAGTGCTGGGATTACAGGGGTGAGTCACATGTGGTCTGTATTTTTTTTTGTTTTTGTTTTTTTGGTGGGGTAGGGAGCAGAGTTTCACCATAAACTTGTTTTTCTTTTTCAAATCTATTTATTTCAATGAGAAAAAAAATTGTTTTTAAACACATCAGTTGGGACAACAGTGGTACATTGTGCATTGTCATCCCCAAATCATTCACCCAGAGCACAAGACATTTGCATTCAATTGTCCAAACAATATCGCACAAATCTTTCTCTTCAGTAAACTCAGAGAAATCAGTAGTCTATATTTTTTAATTAAAAATATTTTAACATGTAACTTTTCCCATGGGTGAAGAGACAAAAATGATTTCCTATAAAGGTGTCTTCCCCTCCTCCTACCTCATACAGTTAGTGTACCCCAGTCCCTTGTTTATTTTGAGAAGTCTGTGCCTAAAACATGCACATGGGTTTGTCTACACACATGATCAAAACAGTACCACCGTACATAGAGGTCTGTCTCCCACTGCAACATGCCTCCGTTGTTTAGTTTGGTTTGTTTGTTTGTTTTTTGTTTTGGTGGTTTTAGAGACTGAACCTAGTGCTTTTGCATTGAGCTACATTTCTAGCCCTTTTATTTATTATTTTGATTCAGGATCTTGCTAAGTTGCCCAGACTGGGCTTGAACTTGAGATTCTCCTTTCTCAGCCTTCCAGAATATACTAGTATTATAGGCATGTGCCACCATGCCCACCTCTCTTTTTTTGTTGTTTATGGAGATCATTCCATACCAATATGCAAGGAACAAGGAGCCTCATTCTGTTTGGGACTGCGTAAGATTCTATTGAATGGACATGCCATAATTTAATCTGCTACTTATGAGTGTTTAGTTTGCTCCTTTGGTATTATGGTGATAACATAAGCCTTTGTGTTATTCTATGCAAAATATGTTATTATATATATATCTGTGCAGAGTATAACTATAAGATGTCATCAAAGTGTAATTTTCATCAGAATAGGTAAGTGTCCATTTCATTAGGTATTTTTTTAAAACTATTTTTCTTCCAGTAACAGTGATTAAATCCAGAATCTTACATATGCTAGACAAGTTCTCCACACTGAGCTATATCCCCAGTCTTGTGTCTTATTTTGGAAGACTTACTGGGCAGCTTTACCTGTAATGCCATTCTGAAGATATTTTAGCAGAACTGAGAAACTGGAAGGATTACTTAGTGATGCTTTACTTTTAGACATTGATAACATTGATCCTGTATGTCATTCTAAAATAAACTGATTCTGCTTCCCTTTGAAAACATGGATTTTTCAAACATGGAAGTAAGTTTTATCTTGGTACAAATCATCTTTGTGTGTAAGACAGATTGAAGTCCGTGTGGTTTGGCTCTCTAGTAGCCTGTGCTTTCTGAATTATTATCTGTAAGGGTGGGGCATACTACCCATTTGTAGGGTTTGCATAAATAATTCAAATGTACATAATGTTACACAAGTTGTGCAGTAAGTAGATATAATCCAAGCATGCTACTTTTGGCAGTAATACTTGTATTTCTGCAGTCATTTATGAGAACAGTTCACAAGCCATGTAGAAGACATATGTCATTAGATTCTATGGTTTCTTAGATTGATAAAAATACATGGTATACCACCTGGTTTACAAGATTTGATTTTGTCAGACCAGGTTGTTAGCAGAATGAACTACAACTTCAAAGAATAAGGGTTTACCGTCTTTGGGGATAATCAAAATGCCGAGGCTTACTTAGCAAGCTGTTGCAAACAAAATTTTTTTTCCCTTATTTTCAGCTGTGAAAGCACTGTTAACATGTGTGTTAACATGCTGCTACTTAGGGGACAGTGATCACTTAGAAGATGAGATCTCTATGTCATACTTGTAATCAAAACTCACCTGACATAAGGCTTCCTCAGGAGTAGCACATACCTTTGTTGATAGAATCATTTTTACCATGGGTGCCATCTAGCAAATCAGTCCTTAAATTCAGCTTCACCACATAAATCAGTCACACAGTGAAACAGGTTGACTTCATGCCCACCATTCAGATTCCTTCTTAAGTTTTATATTTTTGCAGCAGTGAAAAGAAGTTCTCAGGTAAGGTGATCTGTACTGAGATGTGTATTCAAGAAGTGGAGGGTCATCTTGGATTATTAGGTATTAGATGGGTTTATGGAGAACGATGGGTGTTTTGTAGAAACGCTTGCTGCATAGAGGAATAGAGCAATAGGAAGAAGGGCTGCCAAGGTTTGCCCTTCGTTGTCTCTTAAAAAACATTTGAAAACTGTTGTGATTTAAGAAAACTTTCTGCCCTACCTGACTACAAAGGAGGGTTACTGAAAATAATGTCGATTCTGACATGTCAGATTGATATTGGAAACTTAATAAATATGTTAACTTGAAAGACTTAAACTGTAGTCCTCCCAAACAAAGAGAAAGGGAAAAAAATTAACCATATTTAAAAATTAAACATATTTAGAAATAAAGAGCAAAAGTTGATGACTTGAAGTTACCAGTATCTTTGGACTTTTTCTTCTGATTTGTTTTATACAATTTAAGTTTACCTGCTTTTGATTGAAAGGAATAATTTAGTTCCTTTTTTCCAACTCAGTCTCATTCATATGAGTACAGAGAAAAGTTGTGTGGTTTTCCTGGTTGTCTGTGCATACAAGTCATAGAACATCTGGCCATGTATAATATTTTCATTTCCACCCGATGTTTCATTCACTCCCTAGATACTGTGCTGCTGTTTTGTTTTTCTGTTCAGGTCTCCCATATTTTAAATGCATTTTCTGAGCTATTCCCCCTGGAGAAACCATATACTGTAGCAATTGAGACTTCCCTTTAACGGTTTGTCTTGTGTCTTGCACGTAGCATTTCCATTTCTTGCATAGATGAATGAGTTCTTTTTTCCTTGCTGACTATTAGGGCCTTGCCTTATGGAAAGGAATAGGGTGGTGAAGGGAAAATGTTTTCAGACCTTGCCTAGTCTTAATAGGGGTTTATGACACTTAGAATTTCAACTATTCCACTTCCATCTTTCCTAAGTCTGGTTGCAACATATTCAGTCAATATCCAAAGACTTAACAGATGACATATTGTGCAAGGAATTGGGAAAGAGTAAAGAGATGAAGGAGGTTTTATAAAAAGTGTGTGGGGGCAGGGGCGTTGTAAAGCATGGGCGCCAAATATGCCACAACCACTGCCTTGGTGGGAGTGTGTGAAAGGTGTGCAGTTGCATCATAGGTGTGCACGGGTACGTGACTGGTACAGAGGAGCCTTGCACACAGTGCAGGAGTTATGCCCAGTGGTCCTTCAGTAGGGGCAGCCTGAAGGTGCGCCATTTGTTCTCAGATTCACTGACTTTCCTTAGTGTTGCTGTGTCCCAAGCATCTTGCAGTACTGAGAGGGCCTGCTGTTTGGAGGGCCTTTTTTCATGGTAGGTGTTTCCCAGGCAGACTCAAGATGTACAGACATCCCCTTCCTCTCAAAGGGCTCACTCACATGTAGGAACTGGCATGTTTTACCTCTGAGTACTACCTTGGTCTTCTTAGGCTAGGAAGTACTCATTAAAACCAGAAGAAGCCAGTAGAATAGCAGTATTAGTGCTGTGGTCTTAATTGTAGTTTTAATCTTCCCAGTAAGACAGGTACAAAATTTTTCACCTTCCCACATTTGGTCAAGCAATGATATTTCTGGTTAGTATGGGTAGAGAGAGAGATGCTAACTAATCACAGTGTATCTTTTCTCTACTTCTTCCTTTGACAAAATAATGCCAGCTTCTTTCTCGAGGGGAACATTTTCTTTACAGGAATGTGGCGCCAAAGTAAAGGGGACCCACTGAAGAGAGCAGTTTAAGATGGAATCGAAGTAATGATAAGAGTGCAATGAAGATTTGTGGAGAAATCTTACGATGGAAACAATGGAGATGGCTCGAGTTCTGGGTCAGGTTTTTCCCCAAGGGAGATCTCACTATTTGCACTGTCTGCAATGCTAGAATGCTTTAGGAAAATCCTTTAACTCCTAAGGACATCTTACATAAACCCTAGAGAGGCTGGTCAGCTTATGAGGTTTTGCAAGTAAGACAGTGCTTCAGAAAGAGTCAGAAGGACTGGACACACAGAAGAGTTTTGGGTTTTCTTGACTGATGGTGCTAAGACGGGTGGGGAGAAGACCCCAACAGCCAGGCACTTGGCTGCTGTGGCTGGAGGACCCTTGCTCTTGGCCAAGGTGGCAGATGGCAGATGGCAGATCTTCTGGCAGGAGTGCCCTCCAGCCTGGCCCACGTGTGCTGGTGGTTTTCTTCATGGTGCACATTTAGCCAAGTGCAGCTCCTTTGGTCTGACCAATTTGTCCCCTGCTATTATGCCTGATCAGTGATGTTACTGACCTTTGCCCAGGCTGGAAAGGTGTCCAGGTGGAAGAGACTAACTCCCCAGGTGTTGATGGCTACCATCACTATCACCAAACCAATGACGTTGACTCCCAGGCCAGCTTTCACCTGCAGACACAAGCCAATGGCACACCCTAATCACCATGACCAGGTAGCAGCACATGTTTCCAAGAGAGCTATTGTCTAGGCCCCCAGCCTTGACCTTGCTCCACCAATGGGGCCCTGACTGTTGTAATCACTACCTGGACTGCTCATGTTCAGGTGGCACAGGACTCTAGAAGACTAGAAACAGAGGGATTGGGGCTGGTACAGGGCAATCATCTCTACTTGTCAGCAGCATTCAGTTTACAGTGGACATAATTACTTGGGACACTGATCTTGGAATGCTAAGAGGTATTTCTGCAGTGAAATAGGGAGATAGAACTTTTAGGAGGGGTATTACTGTTTGGATGTTAATTGCCCCCCACATCTCATGCTGAAGGCTTTGTTGTTAGCTGACAAGTTTTAGGGGAAGTGCCTGAATCATGAGGGTTCAGTCTTCCATCTTGGATTAACCTATTGATGCAATCACAGTTTGATGGAAATAGGTGGTGGGATCTAGTTGAAGGGAGTGGATCACAGGCTTTTGATCTTGAGGATTCTGCTGATCCCAGGCTCCCTTCTCTTGTGTTCTTTCCCTGGCTGCCATAGGTGTGAGCAGCTTTGCTTCACACCCTTCTTTCTCACCTCAGGCCCACAACAATGAAATTCCTAACCGTGGACTAAAACCTCTGGATCCTTGAGCTGTTCTAGACCTTTTTCTTTAAAGGTGGTTTTTCTCGGTTATTGGTCACAGTGATGAAAAGCTAATATAAGGGCTGTATTACATGAAGGCTTTGCCACTTTCACCTTTTACCCCTCCACGGAACAGCTCAGAGAAATAGGGCACCTTGGGAGGCATAAGTCAGCTGCCTTTGCCAGTTGTTCTACCAGAAGCTGACAAAGGCCCGTGAGCTTCCCTGACCTCTTCCTTTGGGGGAACTGCACCTCAGTGACTCCAACCCATTGTTTGCCATGGCATTGATGCAGGTGGATGGGTTTATGAGAGACCATGGACTGGCTGAGCTAGGGCCAGATGGGAAAATGTGTGCAGGAAGGACAGCTGCTATCCTTCCAGGAAGTAACCAAGTATATAGCATGTAGCCAAACTGGTCCACTAACTGGTGTTAAAGTGGGACAGTTCAAGGAAGGAAAACAGGCTGGAAATTGTTTCAGGCAAATGACTGACCTGTCCTCTTTCTCTTGCCTCTGACTGAAAGTCTGAACTTCTCTGTGGTTGGTCCTGGGCCACTGGACCTTCGGTGTGGATAATAGCCTGTTCTTCCTAGCAGCTGGGAGGGCAGGTTCTGAGGAGCTGAAGTATTCAGTTGTGATCTCGCTTAGTAAGATGAGATTGAAGCTGGATTTAGTGTCCTAGCAGGGCTAGGACACAGGGCAGGCTGGTTTCTTGGCATTCAGTGCCTTAGACAAGCACTGTCTGTTCATTAGACTCCAGCATAGGAAGCGGATGAAGGTTCATGGTGGGGGTGCACAGGAGGAGAAGTGTGAGGCAGAACTAACTCAGTGTGAGCTGCCAGAAGGTTATATCGGCAAGAGAGGGCCTGGCCGCCTGTCCCTGAAGTAGCACTGATAACTTAGATGAGCAGTTTATGAGTGAGAGGACAGGAATATTTACCACCAGCCTCAAACAGTTTCTTCCTTTTTTTTGGTATTTTAGAGGGCTGTTGACACTAAGTCCCAAAAATTGCACAGAGTGACTTTCAGCAAGGGCAGATCTTCAGATGCTCAGACCTCAGTAATTCCTATCAGTTTGTTTACCCTTTCTTCCACCCCCATCAGCACTGGGTATTAAGAGTATTGTGAGAGTGTAGGCTGAGGGAGGTGGAGACAGACACCTTTGGTACCAAGGTCAAAGGCAAAATGTCTCTTTTAGGCCATCTCTAAAACTCTGCTGAGAGCAAAGCAATGCACTGTGAAGGCCTCATTTCACTGTGTTGCTTCAGGGCTTAGAGAACTGAACTGAAAGAGCCTAGTCTCATAAATACCTTCCTCCTGTGTCATACAGTTTCTTATCCCTCATCTTCTGTGAATAAATCAGTAAGTTTTAGGGTAAATATCCCCTCTCCTACTCTGTAGAAGTGGAAGCACACGTCTGTGCAAGCTCATGCCTCCTGTAACTGGGTGCTGTCCTGTGCCTGTTCCAACTTTCTCCATTCCTGTTCATCCAGGAAAGGGTGGGGAGGGCACATTGCTGCTTTTCTTAGAGCTATGGACCAACCAAGAGTCCTTTGACAGATACCACTCATTCTCTCACGCTGAACAGAGTTAGACACACCAGGGCACTGGAACAAAAAGTAAACTTCAGGAGACGGCTGTGTGGCCAGTCATCCCTACTCTTGAGGCACTGGGCCTAGGGAAGAGGGTGCCCACCACTCACCATGTCTTTGATCTGGCAATGCCCATAGCTGAAGACAATGGCGTTGGGGGGGTTGCCCACTGGCAGCATCACTGCAAAGGAGATGCACATGGTGACCGGGATCAGGGTGTAGAGTGGGTTAATGTGCAGTGTTTCAGACTAGGAGAAGAGAGAAATCACAGAAACATTAACTTTGAGGTTTGGCTCACATTTTTTGTGCACAAACATGCTTTATTTAAATGGTGGCTTGGGTAACCTTGGTTGAACACTGAGCGGGTGAGATCCCTGACCTCCAAGATGTGCAGTGTTCTTGGCAACCTGAATGAGCCCCTACTGTTCACTCACAGAAGCTCAGCTAATTCTAGAAGGGATGTTTAATTTTTTTTTTTTTTATATCACCAAGTCTTTTTGGTTTTAGTCTTGAGGCAGGGTCTTGCTAAATCACCAAGTTGTCCAGGTTGGGCTCAAACTGCCTCAGTTTTCAAGAGTGCTGGGATTACAAGCATGCATCACCGTAGCCAATTTAAACTTTGTTGCTTAGTGGAGAAATCTACTCAAACAAAATTCTCACAAATAAGCTACTTTGATTGAAGCATAAGGATCCCACACCTTTTGGGTGCACAGCTGAGGGTTTTTTTTTCCCTAAGAAAACTAAACTGCTTGATTTAGGACTGAACCTATGATCTTGGTCTCAGTGTTGCTGCACTTTCACTAAACGCACTCCAGTGTGCACGCAGCAAGGTGACGGACAGGAGAAACTGAAGACACTAAGCAATGAGCAGGGAGTGGCCGGAGAGAGTTCGGGCTTAGAAAACATGAGGAGTCTGCTTCCCTGGGGCAAGTTGGGGATTCCACCTTCTACAAAGGGACAGATACAGCTTGGGCATTACCTTTGGGGCTGCTTCACCAGGCTGAAACCTAGCAGGTGGTGCCTTCTCCTGTCCCACCACTAACAGACTGACCTGCTGTATGGGGTGAGCCCATGGGAGCTCAGCATCTCCCAGGGCACAGTGGAATTGGGTAGAGGTGACGATGGTTGTTAGACTTGTGCAGTTGGTGTTTGCAGCTATGTATTTTGCTCTGTTTTCTGTTGCTTTTCTGGGCCTATCATTAGGTTTCATCTCAGCAGAGAAAGATTGATGATGACTATGGGGAAATGGAACTCTAGGGCTTTAAGGTTGTTGAGTCCTTTCTTCTGTTTTCATTCAGGACTGCCCTTGAACTAATGCTCCTCTGCTGGTGGAAGAGTTTCTAAAACTTTTGCTGTCATTTATTAATGTATCTTATGTATTAATTGCCATGTGACTTCATGCTGTGGTTTGAGCTTCAGTTAGTGAAAGCTGTGGGCCGCCAGGAGGAGAGGGTTTGGTCATGGAAGCTGCTCTCTGGAGCCAGCCCTCCCGTATCTACTCACCAGGCTGCACACAATGGGCAGGAAGATGGTGATGGTGGCCGGATTGCTGACAAACTCTGTGACAATGGATACCAGGACGCATGCCAGCAGAGTCACAGCCCATGATGGAAGGCTGCTTAGGCATAGCATCTGCTGCCCAATCCATGTGGAGAGGCCAGAACTCTGCAGGAAGATGTGTTCAGGTAAAAGGTCAGGTGGGTTCTTAGACTTTCAAGGGTCAGAAGTGCTGGCTGGGAAGGACCACTTGGGCTCATCTAGTCTATCTTTAGACTGACCAGAGCCAGGGGCAGCCGCATCTTAGATTCAGTCAGTTTTGTGCCCCAGAAGTACCTTTCCTATGATTTTGTCTCATTCAGTCTTTGGTTGCTGTATCCTCTTCTAGGACTGTGGCTAGACAAGGGTTGGAGGCCTTCGCTCCCCCTTCACCCCTCAATATCAGTCTCTGCCTGTCTCCAGCCTGACTTCCTCACTCTGTGCATCAGTTCAACAGTGCCCTTTCCACAGAGTTCCAAGTTCATCCTTTCTTCTGCTTTTGAACTCCATGTCTTTTTATCTCCTAAGGAGGGAAACAAGCTAGCAACCTCTTTAGATAGCAGTTTGTCTTGCATTCCATTTTTTAGGGCATGCAGACCTGAACACTGGAAGTTTCTTATGTGTAACAAAGGGTAAGGGATTAGAAGTCTATCTTAATTTACTGCCTCCCTTGCCTATAGCATAGTCATTCAACTCCAACCTATTTCAGGTTCAAGTCCCATCGTGGCTGGCATCTACTGGCTGCCATTGCTTTTGGAAGATGGAATCTTTTTCGGTAGCATCATTTATCCACTCAAATGAATAATATTTCCATTTGGAATAATTTATTGGGTTGGAAGATGTTCATCTGACAAAGGTGAGGGCTACCCCTTGTCTCCTAAAAAATAAAGGACTGAGGTTTTTGTTTTGATACTGGGGATTGGATTAACCCAGAGCTTTGCATTGAGCTATACCCTTAGCCCTTTTAAAACTTGTTGAGACAAAATCTTGCCACGTTGTCCAGGCTGGAGGTGGGTTTGCGGTCCTCCTGCCTCAGCCTCCCATAGTGCTGGAATCACAGTTGTGTATCCCATGGCCAGCTACCACTGAGTTTGTATACTAAAAACCTTTTGGTTGCCATATGTATTCTCCCTTCTCTCCCTTGTATGGCAACATGCTCAGACTCTTGTAATGGTTCTCTTAGAGATTGCAATAAAGCGATGGAGGGTAGGGGCAGAAAGGAAGCTGAGACATGTCATGATTCTTCCAGCTGTAAGTCCTGCTCCTTGTGCTTTACTGTTACCACCTTCACCAGACGGTCTGCACGTAGTTTCTCAAGCTCATCACAAGTTCATTTGATCTCTATAGCACCCTGAAGGCCCTCAGAGTTCTCTAGATGTAGCCATTTCAGCGTGGTGAACTTTTTCCCTTTGTTTTTTCAATGACCGATAGGGGCTGACCTGGTTTGTGGACCTTGCCCCAATCCATGGTTGGTCCAGCACCTTACAGCCCACAGGAACTTGCTCATTAGTCACAGGCAAGAGGGAGGACCAGTTGAGTGGAAATGGTACGTTTTATGAAAAAAAGAAAGTGGTTTTATTTACCATGTTATACAAATAGTAAATAAAGTGAAAGAATTTCATGGCAATTAATTTTCCAGCAGAACTCTTTTTATACTGTAATTTGAAATGAATGGATAAATTAGATTGTCAAATTAGAAAAAACACAACACAGGAAGGCTTAATTTTTTAAATCCTTGGTATGAAAACATGTCACATTGCATTTTCCTGACTATTCCCAAGACTCTGAAATTATTTCAGACTCAAAATCATATAGATTTTACTTGAGTTGTTATAGTATTAACATTAATAGAGTTAACAGGTTTTAAAGAGAGAGCCGCTAGGTTATCTGTAAGATATGCATGATTTTGATTAAGAAAAAAGTCATGTTGGCCTAGACTTAGACCAAAACTAATGAAATTCATTAAAGATAAATATAATAACTTGTTTTTGGAATTAGAAATATCGACAGAATAGACTAAAAGGATTAACATTTAATAGTGGCCACTGATAAAAAGAATGAAGGCTTGTAATAACTACAATTTTAGCAGAACTGTTGACATGCATGCCAGGAAGTCTTATAAAAGCTTCTTGAAAATTCAGGTGGTGGGCTGGGGATTTAGCTCAGTGGCATAAGCGCCTGCCTGGCAAGCGTGAGGTTCAAACCCCGATACCCCCCCCCCAAATAAGAAAATTCAGGTGGTGCTTATGTCAGAGGTGTGAGGCAGACTTGGATAAAATAACTAGTCCACTTGCAGCACATTGACCACCAGATCATGTTGGAATAAAACCAAAGCAAGCTGGTGAGTCCTGAGGTGAGAGACAAGGATGGTAACCATCTTAAAGAATGGTTAAAAGGGCTGACCAGCTTTGTTTGGAAGAAAAATCTAGTAAATGTATTTATTTTAATAATTAACTACGTAGGACAACGTACCAGAGAATAGAGCCACAGCTGACAGTGATATTACACAGAAAATAGAGAGCTGGCCTGAGTTAGAGAGCTTATTCTTGGCACAGGGAGTGCCCTGTTCCTGGGGAGTCCATCCCAAGGCTGTGCTGGAGAGAAACATCTCACTGGGGAGGAGATGGGCTCAGTGTCCTGTGAGGTTCTGGTCCAGTTAGGATTTTGTAACTCACTGATCAACGTTTAGGCCCATAGTGAATGGGCAGTCAGGGTGGCCACATTTGGGGTGAGTTGATACACATAGACAAAGTAGAGGGGAAATGATCTGGATCTTAATGTGATTCATCCTTAGGATTGTTCTTTTTTCAGAAAGGGTTGACACTTTAGGGAGTTCAACTATTTCCCACTAGCCTCACTAAAATGGTCTGCTCCTGAATGTCCCAACTAGGAAATTAAGAAAAAAAAATTTTTTTCAATCAAGAAATTTTTACATCATATTCAATAAAGATTCTTTGAAGCCAGGTGTGGTAGTGTACACCTGTAATCTCAGCACTTGCGAGTCTGAGGAGGAAGATCACTGTGAATTTGAGGCCAGTCTGGGCTACAAAGTAAGTTGTAGGCTGGCCTGAACTGCATAATTAAAATCTGTCTCAAAAAGAAAAAAAAAAATTAGACTGTACTGTTGACCTATACATTCAGACAGCATCAGTACAGTCTACCACATCAGCACTTGAGGCCTCCCTGGACCCTTACAGACCCACTGCCTGTCCCTGCTCTCAGGTCTCAGAAGGAGATGGCTGCAAAACCCAGTGAACCTTTGGCTGGTGGGGATATGGGACTGTAAAGGATGTATGAATGCCCTTGTCCATGACCCAGGGCAGCTGACCTGAACTCTGTTCCCAGCTGCACTAGGAAGGTCAGGAAGCGATAGAACATCTGTCCTGATCTACTGCTGCCCTTCCCTGTGACCTGGTGACCATGTAGACTCCCTCAGCTACTTTGGGCCTTTTCGCCCAAGGGTAGAGGTTCTGGATGAACATTGGACCTATGAGAAAAGAACTGAAGGATTACCTTGCTGCCAGAAGCCAGGGCATAGCCTCCGCCCACCAAGATGACAATCTCCCAGGGCATGGTTTTCTGGAAGTCCTTCCACGTGATGATGGGTTCAATCCCCAGGGAGCACTCATAGTTTGTCCCTGGATCACAGAGGGAGAGTAGTGGGGAGCCGGGTAAGCCTTGCCTGGCATGGCTTATGGAGATGGGGGGCTAGTGGATGAATTGGAGGATCTGGGAGACAGTCCTGTTTTAGGGAGGCTGACTTGGGCATTCCCAGCTTCTTCCCTTGAACCTCCTCTTACCGTCATTCTTTTTCCCAAAGCAGGGCTTCTTGGCTGGAATGAGGAAAAGAAGGAAGCCGAGGAAGACGGAGACTGTGGCGTCTGTGCGGTAGCCTTTCCTAGCAAAGAGACAAATATGGCTGCAAGAGGAGGTCACGGCAGTCTTGGTGAACACAGTGCCTCTTTTTAGGACCTAGTCTAGGGGTGACAGCAACCGAATTCCCGGTGCTGCCATAGTGGCTTGCAGTGGATTCATGGGCAATGCTAGTGTCTTGGCGTTGGGCCTGGTGAGCAGACATGCCTCAGTGGTAGCTGATGGGGCTGTGAATTGGGGCAAGGCCTAGAAAGAGTAATCAAGAACTGTTTAGGTGAGGAACAGCAGAAAAGCCTGAGCCTTCTTTTCTGTGGGGTCATATTCCTTGGGTGTCCTCCAAAAATGAGAAGCTGGTGCTGAGAGAACTTGCATCTGCACCTGGGGATCTGGGCCCTTGGGACCACGGGCAGGGGTGGCCCGGAAGCTGGTGTGTGTCTCCTGGTATTTCCTTCCTTCCAAAGTTTCAGCTCTGGAAGTCCTTTAACAGTTGGTACTTTATACACAGTTTTTCCTTTTAACTCACAGCAGCCTGTGAAACAGCAGAGGTTGTAGCTGCTTTTTTAAGTCCCACAGCTGGACAGTGGCAGCCCCAGATCCCAGCCATTGATAGGAACTCCAAATATGGTATCTCCCTGACTTCACACTGCTGCTTCTCTAGAAAGAGCCTCTAGGAAGGCTTCCTGGTTTGTGCCTTCTCTGAGAGCTGTGGACATGGGGCATCTGCTGGTGTTTACTGTCTGAGGAGTGGCAGAAGAGATGGTTCGCAAGGAGGAAACCGTATCACTTACTTTTCAAAGAAGGAATCCCAGCCGGGGACAAAGCCAGGCTCCCGAGTAAACCACAGCACAGTCATCAGGATGAAAAAAAATCCAGTCACCATCTCAGGGTAGCTGTAAAATAAAGCAAAGCAGAGCTACTCCAGGAACTAGGGAACTTCTTGTAGCTTTTGCACTTTACTTTTAGAATCTCCTGGATTCATAATTTGAACACTTGAGACATAAAGCAGTCACCGCTGAACCACCAGAGTGGCTGGCAGTGCAGAGGGAAGAGCAAAGCCAGAACATGTGGCGTTCGCCATCCTTCCTAGAGAGGTCTGGGCAGGAAAACACACAGCACTGAGGTTACCAAACAGCGTCACCTAAGGCCCGTGAGGAGCATGACGGGCAGTGAGCACCCTCAGACACTGTGTGGCGGCCTGGGTGTCCATATGATCTTTCTGAGTCCACTTAACCATGCAAATCGGGAATCTTAAATTAGGACATTCCCTTCATCTGAGACTAACTGGAAATCTATACTGAACTATTACCCATAGAAAAGTGGAAACAGTCATTTTGTTGTTAGTCTACCGATATTTCATGACACCAAACACATTTTGATACAACTACAGTATATGTTAAAGCGGGATGTGTTCATCAGTAATCATATTTCCACAGCAGAATTAATACTATAGGGACATAGTAACAATACAATGTTAAACAAGAAAAGGATACACAGCATATATCAGTATAAATTTTACCAAAAGACATAATTTTGCACAGAAAAGGGTGGAAAAAAATATCTTAAAGGAGTGAACAGTTAATACTGGGATGCTAATGAATTCAAGACAATTTTAATTTTCCCTAATACTTGTATTTTATAAAGTTCTACAGTGAATACACATTCCTTTTATAACTTAAAAGCTTTAAAGACTAAGTTTCTATCAGAATCACACTTAACCAAAGTTGTATGTGCCAACTGCTGTAAGAGGTGAAATCACGTTAAAGAGAACCCTGGGGCACTGTGTGAATTCTTATAGCAGTGGCTGAGGATTGGTTACTGATTTTTTTTTCCTTTTTATTTTTTTTTGGCTGTACTGGGGATTGGGCCCACAGCTAGGTCCCCAGTCCCTTTTATTTTTCATTTTGTGACAGAATTTCACCAAATTGCCCAGGTGGGCCTCTAATTTGTAATATTTCTGCTTTGGTCTCCTTAGTATCTAGGATTAACAGGTATATGCCATGGTGCCTGGGTATGTAGTGAATTCTTAGAACTTCTGTATTCAAGTCTGTATTTGATCTGTGTGGTATTTTAAATACAGCACCAATCCAGGTGTTGTGGCACAATCCTGTAATCCCAGTGCTTGGGAGGCTGAGGCAGGATGATTACCATATGTTTGAGGCCTGCCTGGACTACACAGTGAGTTCAGGACCATCCTGAACTTAATATTGAGACCCTGTCTCAAAAAACAAAAATTAAGTACAGCACCAGGTCCCCCGGAGCCTAGGAGTGGCCACAGGATTACTGTGGTGGCCCATTTGAGCAACATAAGGCATCCTGACTTTGGAAGAAACTAGTGTATACCAAGGGCTGTTCAGTATTTCTGTTGTTTTTATTTCTTCTGCCTCATCCATGGGTTCCACATCATGCCAAGGGCTATACTTCAGACTGAACACAGCCGAGGGGAGAGATAGCCACTGAAATCTGGACCAGCTTGGGTTTGGCATCAAATAGGACCTCCTCAGTGCCTGTACTTGTGGCTGTGGGACATCACCCTGGGGTCAGGGGCTGCCAGGAACATGGCTGCTCCTGCACTTCTCCATCCAGCTGTGCCTGTGTCCTGGAGAAGGGGCAAAGGGCTGCATGACTTTTACCTAATGTCTCCCAGTTTCTCATACTCCTCCTGGATCCTCCTCTCTGACAGTTCTTCCCTCTTGGTCTTCTTCTTCTTGCTCAGAGAACAGGTCTCTCTAAAGCTGAGAAGGGAGAATGAACACAACAGTGGGGAAAACATGCTTCTGAGGCCCACAGGAGGACAGATATTAAACTGTCACTAGACCACCCACTGCTGTGGTCTTTCTCCTCACTCTGTCCCTCTGTTCCTCTCCTATTGTCAGTGCTTCTGTCTGCCCCATCACCCAGCCTCCCTTTTACCTTCCCTCAGCCCTTTGAGTCTGTATGTCTGTGTCTTCTCTGGCGTATCAACGTGAGGTAAAAGGGACTTGTGCGTAGGGTATTTACATGGGGTTGCTTCTACACACTTGTTCACAATGTAAGAATCTATGTGATGTGGTATGCACATCAGCATGTATGTGTCTGTGTCCCCCCCCCCCCCAAAAAAGGTGAGTATGTGTATGTGCAAACATTCATCTGTCTAGAGATAAGGCCTCTATGGGGGTAAAAGTGGGTGTTAGTTTTATGTCACAGTGTTGGAACTATCCAAGTACACAGCTGTCACTGAGGTGATAGCAGTCTCTGAGTTAGGAGGAAGTCAGCCCAGAGAACATTCCTTGACCAGTGGAGTTCTGGGCTCAATGAGCTGTTTAGTATCATACACATCTTCCCTGTAAGTGATCAAATGGATAATATGAAGAAAAGGCTTCCTAAGCAGATTACTATGAGAAATAGTATCACAAGGGATATGTCTAATTTGGTATTTTGAGATATGTGAGCATATTCCATACATAAAGTACAAATTTAACATTTGTCTACAAAATTAAACTTAACACAACTTTTACTTGGAATCGTATTTCTAAGGGTACATGAAATTACTGCATATGCTTTGAGAGCAATGAAACTTCATTAAACATGCTCCAATCCAGACTTAAATCATCCAAGCCCTCTAGCCCATTACTTTGATTTAAGAATATTTCATTGTAGAACTGAAAGTGAAGTGCAGAATTCAGGAAGAGAGACAGGAAGAGGCCGTGCCTCATGTGTTCACTGCACTGTCCTCAGCAGCCCTGCAGGGAGCAGTGAGTACCCTCCAGGATGGTGCCATGGCCTTTGGTTGGATGGCAGAGCTGTGGTGCCTTGCTGGCCAGGTGTGGGACTTACTTGCAACCCAGAAACAGCCAATGCATCCAGAACCAGCTGATGACCAGCATGATGAGGGATATGGGGAAGCTGAAGAGGAACCATGTGCCAAAGTTGACCACATCTGCAGCTGGATACTGGCTGGAGGGAGACACCAGATCAGCAAATTAGAAAGGAAAGGATTTCGGCATGGTTGGTATTTGGAGGTGATAGGTAAATGTTCCTTAAGAAGACATACGGCAAGGCTAAGGAGAGATAATGAAGGCAGCATGGTAGGACATTATCTAGAACTTGTGTATTAGTTGCAACTCTACAGAGGTCAGATAATGAACGAAGTAAGCTAAACAGGCTTCTAAGCCACTAAAATCAGTACTAGTAAAGTGAATACACTTTGCAGCCAGGATGTGTTCACCTTTAAGTTACATAAATACCAGTCTGATAAGCTACTCATCTCCCTTTTCAGACCACAGAAAATGGTGAGGGAACTCTGGTGTTCTGTATTATAAGCCCTCTGAAGGAATGTGAATGAAGGGGACATCACCACCCTGTCACCACATCAGATGTCTGTGTTTCCCTCCTTATTTTTTATTCACTGTATTCTAATATGGTAGTCATTCCCTTTCATGAAACATTTCCCTCCTTGGGGAGAACAGCACTGGTATGCCCAGGTTTTCTCTTTCCTGTCTGATAGGAGATTGGTGTGTTCTTCTCTCTTTTGGAGTCTACTTTAGATATTTGAGCTTAATCTTCATGTCCTTTGTTCCCCTTTATACTCTTCCAAATGATTTCTACCCCAATGGCTTCTGTTACCAACGGGCAAAATGGAAATGGGGACCCTTTCTCAGAGACTATTACCAATTTCTAAAGATCAAGGATGTAACTCAGTGGTAGACTGCTTGCTAGCATGCATGAGGCCCTGAGTCCCATCTCTGTGCTCCTTCTGGAGGCCAAGACTCCAAATCTGTCCCTGTAGCCTAAATATTTTTCAGGAGATTCAGAGCCAGTATCTCCAACTAGACATCCCAACCTCTATGTCGACTTAAAAAAATATTCTTTAACTTTTCTGTCTGTTTCTCTGGCTGCTAAAGTCAAAAGCTGGAAAGTTGGCTTGGTCTCTCTTACTAATCCTACCAAGACTCATCAAGCTCCCCTCAAGTAACTCAGGCTGACCATTCCTTGGTCCCTCGGTCACTATCATCTGAAACCACTGTCATCCAGCACTTCTCGGTGGCAGTGTCCTACATTGTCTTTCTCCTTTTCAGCATGTTCTCCAATTTGGTACCTAGAGTGAATTTTTAAAACTATAAATCTGCTCATCTAACTCCCTGCCTTTTGGTGACATCCAAGCTCTTTCTCCGGCCTTGCGGAGTACTCCGGCCTTTGCCTGCGTGTCTCTTTGGCCTCCTCTGCCCTTCTGCCAGTTACTTCTACAGGCTCTGCTCTCCTGTCTTGTCTGGAAAATCTCCTTTTATCTGGTTTTCTCTGGCTCACCCTTCAATGACCACTTCCTCCCCACCTCTGTGGGGAGTGTTTTCTCCCACACAGGCGAGCATTCCTCGCAGAAGCTGGGATTTCCCTAGTCATCCTCAGCTGTAAAGACTGCCTTTCTTTTCCCTCTTGGGAAAGAAGCCACCCTGCCTCCTCTGGGCTACTCCCTCAGCACTGGCCCAGTTCCTGATGCCCTTTGGGTGGTGATTGGTAGACATTTCTTGACTGAGTGAATGACTTACTTGTTGAAATGTTCCAGGAAAATAAGGCTGGTGGAGGTGCCAATGATGGTGGTCAGGCCGCCAATGGTCGCAGCGTAAGATATGCTCAGGGAGAGACACTTGCAGACCATCTGGTCATGCTGAGATCGGTACTTTCTGTTCAGCTCCTGGTTCCTGGAGCCTTGGGTCAGCACTAGTGGCTTTTCCTACCAGAGGAAAAAAAACCAGCTTGGGGTTCCAGCACACAGAGCCCCAGAGGTGGGAGGCACCATGGTTCAGAGGGAAGGTTTCCAGTTTGGTGTCAGAAAGATGAATTCCAGTTTCTACTGTGTACCAGCTAGGGCATGCCTTGAGGTGCAGTAAAGTGGGGAAAACTGTATCCTCTGTGCTCTACTGTGAAGAGTAAGTGAAGTAATGAATGTAGAGCCCTTAGATCATGTCCTAGTATTTAACTCATGGTAAGCTATTACAATTATTTTGCAATATTATTATTATTATGCCAACAAGATTTGATTTTTTACTCGAACGCCAATAAAACTAGTTGTTATCATTTGAACGAGCAGAAGGTGGTCATTCTATGTGAAATAGCAGCAGCACTCCTTGGATTACCAAAGAACATAGCTTTCCTGGGAAAAGGGTTGTGATTCTCTCTTCCCTCTCTGGCCCACTCTTCTTCCTAGCAATTGGCCTTTCCTCTACGTTTTCCTCCCTTCCTGCATATAAGCTTCAGCCTTGCCAGAGTCCTCTCAGGCCCTGCTTGGTCCAGACAGTGGACTTTCCCTGTCCCAGAGGTTCTGATTTCTGCTCTCAAGTGTGGACTTGAAGCAAAGGTTCCTTGCCCATCCTAGGTCTGGCCACCCTCATGATTCTTCACAAGACATAGAGAATCTGGCCCAAATGTTGACAGATCAGGTCTTAAGAAAACCCACCAGAGAGAGAGGTCACATTGCTACATTTCTCATGGCGCTTAGCCATTGTTGTGAATTATAGGAGGGCCAAAGTGATCAGACTAGAGGAGGCACCCAGAGGTTTCCCATGACCCCCAGTGTATAAAATATAAACAACATTGGATTAGCATTCATCTTATTTTGTAACTGGAAATCTGCCAGGTAGGTTTCTGGGCAGGGAGAGTGGATTTGAATCAAGATGCTTCCCTGACTAGGTCTTCATTCTTGGCTTATGAGTTTAACTCTCTGCCTCATTTACAGCCATGGTTTAGTACCAGGAAAATCCTTGCCTGTGCAGAAAAACAGTTTCTGCACAATCAATCTTGTGCTACTGAAATAAAATATTTGCAGTGTCCCTGAAGCACCTTTGAGAAGGACCTTGAGCACCTCTGACCTAGACTGACCTGAGCATTTGTAGTCAAAGGAACTGAGGCCATGCAGTGGAACATCTTGCTGAAGCTGAGTAAGCTGGACGCTTAGTCATCATGGCACATGCAGGCCAGAAGTGGTTGTGAGTAAAGTGTGCCTGGTGACGGCTTACCAGCCTGGTGCCATCACTGTGTGAGGACCAGCACCCCTGGGAAGCACCAGGTGCGTTATGTAGGAAACAGGGCCAGAAGGTGGGATCTGTTACCTGTTGCTTCTTGCCTTGGTGTCGGTTTGACGTCTGGATGGGCTTGGTCATCATGGGCACACCATTCAGGTTCTGTCAGGACAGAGGTCAGAACACTACTAGGAAAAGGACATGGTGACCCAGGGGCCTGGGAAAGCATCCCCTAACCAGGTTACGGCCACCCATGGCCAGGCACCAAGGGATTCAGAAACCAAAAGCCAGAGAGGGCACAAACTAAGACCACCACCTGCACCTGCATCCTCTGCACATTTCCTGTTCAGTGGTGTCAAGCATCCATCCCAGGAGGTTCTTGAAGTCTGGCAAACATGACTTTGTCCTTTAAGAAGAGCCTGACTTTCCAGGATGTCACCAGTATGAAGGACTCTTACTATATTTTTAATCACAAAGACAGTGTTTTTGAAACCCACTACTGTAAAGTCTGCAGTTTTATTGGTATTTTACGTGTCTCACAAAGACACCTAAAACTGGCTTTGGAGGATGGGGGTGAGGTTTGAGCAGCAGCATGTGGTTGATCTTTGCTCTCCCCACAAACATGTCCCTTTGATGGTAAGATCTATGAAGGAATCTCCACTGACAAGAATCAGTTTGAATCTGTGGCTCTTGAATTCTGGATGACTGATTCTTGGGTCTCCATAAAAAGGGTTAACTTGTATTTTATGTGGCTAAACCCAGTATCGGGGACTGGAGTTCAGCACTACCCAGGCACTTTTCAGGAGCTTGACCAGCCCGTCGATGTCCGAGCTGTGTGAACCCTCTCCACCTTCACATCCAAGGATGCTGCTGCAGTGGAGGACAAGCTGCCAGGCATGATGGGCCCTGAGTTGGCTCGAGGGACTTTCAAGTGAGTGATCTCAAAGCACAGGGAAAAACTCGGGGCCATACCTTGTGCATCAGAGAAGCAAAGTCTGCCGCTGATGTGCTGGAATGAAGCAAAGGAAACAGGGAAACTATAATGGACCAGATTTCATGAGAGGCGAGCTCTCTTCCTCAACTTTAGTGTTTGCTATAAGGGACTTAAACTATCTAATCCAGTTTCAAGGGTATGAAACGAACTAATCTCATCCTAATCTTCCTGGCCTTTTAGAGCTATAAGGATTCATGGAAACACAAGGCTTTTTCCTCCTGAGGCAGGGGCAGCTGGTCTTCTCTGAAGTGAACAGGCAGTGCTTATTAGGTGCTCAGCCCTTAAAGATAGACTTTATACTTATGACATTGTTATCCTCATAAAAGATCCATGCTGTATCTTATAAGCACTGGGATGTTAGCAGTGGACAGACAGAGCCACTCTGCCTCGCTGGAGAGTCCTGACCTCATCCTTACTGTCAGGCAAATGACATTTGTTAAGTGCATATCTGAGAGGACAGGAGCAGGGAGGCCTCAGACTGTACCCAGGAAGAGAATGTGGAGATGGGGAGAATTCTGGGCACACTTAACTGCACATCTGAGTCCCTCCCACACTTGCAGAACCCCAACTTTTATTGTGAAGACAAGAAGATGAAAAATATTGAAATTATCAGCTCCCTGAGTGCTCAGTAGCTGTTTCCAGTGTCTTAGTTGTAAGGACAGTGAGTGCCACTATGAAGAGATATGAGAGTGCTGGGCATACGTACAGGACATGGCTCCAGCAGGAGGACAGGAGGTGACAGATTTGGAGTGGAGTGTACTTTTGAGAAGATGCCTCCCTTCCCAAACTGACTGCAAAGAGCGGTCAAGATGTTCTCAACCTGCAAGGAGGCTTTGGGTAGAACCCAAAGAAGCCCTGCTCCTTCAGCATAGGACGCGAGGGGCAGCTCCAGCTTCTATCTTAGAGTACAGGGAAGAGGACGTGAAGTGTGTGAAGTCACCTCTGAGAGGAAGTGGGGCGGGCACAAGTGGAAGTGTGGGAGCTGTGGGGTTCTGCTGTGATCTGGACTAAACTTTGGAGTAAGAACAGGAGGCCACCATATCTGAAAGGGACCAGAAGGCTATGGAAGGGGAGAACAAGCCAACAGGCTGTGCTTGAAGACAGTGCTAAAAGAAAAATAAAGCCATTTCCTAATGGTTTCCTTCTGTATCTATCCCCTTGTATATGCTGATTTCATTCAATCAATGTGAACTGTTCATTATTTATGAAAAAAGACAAATTGCGAAGACCAGCTTCATTACAAATCCAGCAATGAAGTATGTAATATCGCAGGATGCCTTGAAGACCACATTTGATATATGGTCTTCAAAAGCGATCAGCTGTTAATAGATCTACCTCACATGAGTGTCTGTGATTGTACTTTCCCAGCTTCTCCTGTGCACCAGCATCTGGCTCTGTCACCCACTGTCCCCAGCCCCCTGCCTGTCACCTGATTTTTTCTCTGCCATTATAACAAGACCAGATCTGGAAAGTCTATATCTAATATTTATAAAATGTTTTGCTATTCTTGAAGAAACCCTAGTGACATCCATCATGTGTTGGAAAGACCTGGGATCTTAATACATTATAAAAAATAATTCTAAGAGAGTCAGCAATTTTTGTGGAATTATACTTGGAGGCTATATAGAGAGTTCCTATATCCATCCATATGGGTGCTGGTCTATTTCTTTATCATCATTGCAATGTTCTAGGGTTGGGAATTGTCCTGGAGATCTTAGCAAGTGGCTCCTAAGGATGCAGATGACTAGACTGAGCTTGGGCCATACATTTCAAGGGCTGCATGTGGTCTCATTTTTCTAATCTCCCCAGTGGGCCCTGTGAGGCTCTGGGGAAGGGACAATTGTACTTACTCTTCATTTACAAAGATGAGCTCCAGAGGAAGTTGGCCATTATTAGCATCAAGAGCTGCAGTGGCAAAGAAAGGCAGGACATGAGATATGGAGCTGGAGCTGGCCTGTGGTGGGAGAGCAATCCAGGGGCTCAGGGCTGAGACAGGCTGGGCTTGGGGACGATCCCCCTTCTCTCTGCCCTGCAGATTGTGAGGGGCTCACGGACCCAGAGGAGCCCAGGGCTTTGTAGTAACCTGTGGACCTCTAGGGACCAGGAGTAGTGGGGGCACCTAACAGAGAAAAAGAGTGGGAAATGGGACCAAGGGAGCTTCAGGTTACAGGGCTGTCATGATCAAGAGGGGAGCAAAGGCAAGGGCAGGTGTTGTGGGGCCAGGCACCAAGCTGGGCAGTGTCACAGGGAAGCTGGCAAGGGACGCAGGGAAAAGCAAACTGTAAACTGTACTATACTGATGGGCTCGGCCTCTTCAGTGCTGGAGTTGCCTGCCACGAGCTGCTCCTCCTCGGCAGTGACCAGCTCCTGCAGCACAGCCTCCACGATGGGCATCACCATGGCGGTGGTAGAGGTGTTGGACAGCCACATGGACAGCATGGTGGTGCAGCACATGAAGCAGAGCAGCAGCCTGCAAGGCAAGGGGACCACGGTGACACTGGCAGAAGGCCCACCTCAAGGTGCCCTGTGGGGACTCTGGGGTCTCCTACCCACCTGATGGTGCTAAGCTAAAGAATTGTGGCTGGCATGTGTCCACCCAGCCCTTGGCACACCATAAGCACGAATTCAGTATCAGTCCAATGAGTGGACTGCACTGCATGAGCTACATAACCAGGAATGCCCTTCCTTCAGCAAAGAGTAGCTCTACTAGAAGGGCCAGAAGATTTGCTGGCTCCTCTTTCTCTGGACACCAGGTGGAGTTCAGTGATGGGTCTGTTGTGTAGGAGGGAATTCTTTGTCAGCAGTTCCATGAGCACCAGTACATTTGATGCTTTGCAGCAGACAGCACAGTCATTAGCAAAGAGATTAATGTTAGGGTCTCACAGTTCTGCCATCTCCTTATCCTACTGTCGACATGCTGGATGTCATGTCCCCAAGTCACAGAAGTGTCCCCTACCACCATTTGTGTGCACTTGTATGTGTGTGGGGTCTGAAAGAATTCATGCTTAGAAGAAAACATGAACAGAAGTAGCCTTCAAAGTACTTCTCTTTGACTTTTAAATACTATGCACTGTGTGCTTGGACAGACATGGGCCTAATTTTCATAAAATAAGCCAAAATAGAGACTCCCCACCTCAGCATGCCTATAATCCCAGTATTCCGGGAGACTGAGAGTTTGAGCCAAGCAGGGAAACTTAGTGAGAACCTGTCTCAAAAATAAATAAAGACATGATGTAGTTTAGTGTGAAGACCTGAGATTCAATCCCTAGGACTGCAGAAAAACACCCATCTGGGTTTATTGCTTTAGATGACTTTGCAATCTGGCCACTGTACATTTGTCACGTGGGTTGTTGGAACAGGTCTCAGTCCTGGTGACCTTTTGTGTAGACTAACGGTGACAAGACTTTGTCTGTCTTTCATGTGTGACAATTTCCTGGGGGATAAAAAGTTGACACAAAAGCACAGAGAGGTTTTAAAGAGCCACCGAGCACTAATGCACTGTGAGGAAGCGCCACTGTGTGTCTAGGACAGCAGTGGTGAACTCCGGCACTTGTGCTGTAGTAGGCTTTTGTATCCCTGAAAGCTCTAAAAGGCTCACCTCACTGGCCTAGGAGATGCAGGGTGGGTACAGGCGATTGCTGGGTGAGGGGCAGAGCAAGCAGTTGTCAGCAGCCCACCTGACAGACTGGGAGAAGAAACTCACTCTGAGGCATCCACGTGTCTAACTGATATGCTAGGGTTCATTTGAACTGAGGCTCCCCAAGGAGTCAGACAGCCATGTAAAGCTCAGTGAGAACTAGGAACCAAGGGCATCAGAAGGGAGGAAAGAGGAAGGTGCTGGAGGGCCACTGTCCACCTTGGCCTTCCCACTCCTTCCTGGGACTCTCACTGCTGGTTCTGTGCCAGCAGAGGGGAAGAAGGAGCAGCTGAGGACCTGGAAAATGCAACAGGTCTTTGAGGTCTGTGGCCCCACGCGATGTGAAGACCTCCCAGTGGATGAATGGGAGGAAATATTTCCCGCTTGCCTTTGCTTTCGCGTCCAGCCTATGTCCTAACACTCAGGAGAGTGGGTGGAAAACCACTTATGTGGACCCGTAAGGTGCTCCCTAATGAGTCCCGTGATGTGGAACCCGCTGTCCTTGAGGCTGGTGGGGCAGATAAAGTGGATCTTTCACTGACTCGAATCAGTCTCAGTGGGAGGCCACTCTTGGAGGGAAGGTGGGTGCTAGCTCATGCTCACTATGGAACATCTACAGCTAACGTGATGCTCAGCCGTGACCGGACAAGCAGGGGAGGCCCTCGTATGACTCACGTGCCCGGCTTGGCTCCAGCCATCAGGACCATGCGTAGAGCAATGCGCTTGTGCAGATTCCACTTCTCCACGGCTGCTGCCACACAGATGACACCTACCAGCAGCAGTGTGGTGTTCTTAAAGTATTCAGCGGCCACCTGCAGGAGCCCAGACAGGTCACCCTCCTGGCCCAGGATCTGGTGCCCGGGAAGGAGATGCCAAGCAAGTGACACTGGGACTTGAACATAGAAGCTGGCAAAGAGGCAGCAGAGAGATAAGGTTTCTTAAAACAACCCCTTCCCTGAAAATAAGACCTAGCCAGAAAGTAATCAGCCTTGAAAACTAGAACTCAAAAGTGCCAACCCCAGGACTGAGGATTTAGTTCAGCGGCATAAGCACCTGCCTGGAAAGCATGAGTTTGATACCTGGTACAAAAAAAAAAAAAATTCCAACCCCATCAGCCAATTATTGCCTCAACTGCCATCACTGTCCTCTTACCTGCTGGCTCCTTTGTAAGTTAGGTGAGGCGGGGATAAGCTGAGGGGGCTGACATGTTTGATCTCTAGTTTTTAAGGATGGTTATTTTCCAGCTAGGTCTTATTTTTGGGTAAAGACATTGTATGTTTTTACTTTTTTCTTGAGGTGCTGCAGATCAAACACGGGGCCTTGCACCTGCTAGACAAACACTCTGTCACCGAGCTACACCCCCAGCTAAGACAGCTGCATGTTTTAGAATAATATGCAGCTACTGAGTATCTACCTTGGCACTGTGCAAGCTCTTTACAGAAATGATTTCCTTTCATCCAGCCAATAACCTCACAGGATAGATGACCTCCTCTGCTTTTCAAAACAAAACCCTTCATTAAAAATAAAACAACTGTGATTTTTAAGAATAAACATATAGCCAGACATGATGGCGTAAGCTTATTATCCCAGATACTCAGTGGGCTGACACAGAAGGATTGAAACTTTGAGGTCAGCTTGGACACTTTAGCAAGACGCTGACTCAAAATGAAGTTTGAAAAATAAAAATGGCTGGGGATATGCCTCTGTGGCAGAGGGCTTGCCTAGTGAGTTAAATTTCCAGCACTGGACTTAAAAAAAAGAATGTTTAATTTTATATTGCTCAAATTTTATATTGATTTTTAAAAAATTAAATTAACCCTAGGTTTGTCTCCAAATCTTAACTTTAATGTTTTTAGAAAATTTCAGAAAATATGTTTATTTCTGTTAGAAAATGAGTGCATGTTCACTATGGAAAACTTCAAAATATAGAAAAATTTAAAGACAAAATTACCCTTAAACCTGCTGTTGTTTATATCTTGATACATTTTCTTCCGTTTGTGGCACTTAAGGTGGCATACCCTGGTAATCCCAGCATGCTGGGAGACAGAGAGGGAACACTGCAAATTCAAGCTCAGGATGGGGAATGTAGTGACTCAGCAAGACCACAACTCAAAAAAGAAAAAGTGGCCAGGTGTGGTGGCTTATGCCAGTAATCCTGGCACTTGGGAGGCTGAGGCAGGAGGGTTGTCATGAGTTTGAGGCCAGCCTGGGCCACATAATGAGTTCAAGGCCAGCCTGGAATAATATAGTGAAACTCTGTCTCAATCAAACAAGCAGCACTGAGGTTGTAGTTCAGTGTGACGGCCCTGGGCTCAACCCCTAACAGTCAGAGAGAGAGAGAGAGAGAGAGAGAGAGAGAGAGAGAGAGAGAGAGACTGCTAATTTCTTCAAATTCCAGTTTTCCTTATGTCTATATAGAAACATCATTGGATTCATACAGTGTACAGAGTTTTACACCTTTCCTTCCCCCCACTTAACATCATATCCTAATCATTTATTTATGAAACTTAAGTTTATTATGAAAATTCATTTTTAACAGCAGCATAATGTACCATAGAATTTATTTGACCGTTTTCCTTTTGTTGATATTTTAGTTGATTTTTAATTTTCTTTTCTTTATTTTAAAAAATGTTTCAGGAAATAAAATTAAAAATGTATTAGAGAAGGTCTTGCTCTGGTAGTCCAGGCTGGTCTTGAACTCAAGACCCTCTTGGCTCAGCTTTCTGAATGCTGGGATTACAGGAGTGTGCTGTCATGCTGACTGCATTTTTCATTTTTCTTTTTCTTTTTTTGCTTCTATAAGTGGAGCAAAGAATAATTTTCTGCATAGATTATTATCATTAGGCTACAGTTCTTAAAGGTGTTTGTATAAATTGCAAGACATATTTTTGATGTTTATATTTTAACGAGAAAAAAACCAGCATGAACAAAACTGAAGAAAAGTACGGTGCATATAGTAAAACCTTGGATTGTGAGTAACTTCTTCTGCCAGGGTCCCGCGAGACAAGTGAACATTTCTAATAAATTTTAACTTAATAAAGCAGCAAAGGCTTGCAGCAGGAGACAGACGTGATGCAGAATGTCACACGCTCACAACTGAGCCCATGGCTCCTCTCTCTCAGCCTGCGGGATTGTGGGTGATCATCTCCCAACAGCAGGAGGTTATGGAGAGGATCTTGTCTGCAGAGGTGGAGGAGACAAAGGCAGAGAAGCCCTCAGTTCAGCTGAGATTAGGGAGATACGTAAAATGTGAGAAACTACAACATTTTGTAGAAAAGCACCAGTGAATAAGGCTGTTGAATGGCAATGCAGTGTCACATTTCCATTAAAGCCTTAAAAGGAGGCAACAGCCAGTGACCTTGGATGGGCTTCTTGTTAAAGTCACATGAAAAGGAAGATAGTCCATCGAGCCACTAGACAGCAGTGATTCCACTGTTAGTGACAGTGAAAGCTGTCCTGCACAATGATTCCTTTCTGGACTGGGGATACGGCTCAGTGTCATAAGCACATGCCTGGAAAGTGCAAAGTCCTGAGTTTGATTCCTACTACTAAAAAAAAAAAAAAAAAAAAAGAGAGATTAAAAACAATGATTCCTCTCCGTCTCACTCACACCAGCCATGAAGCTTTTCAAAGTGCAGATTAATTTATTTTCTTTATTATTTTGTGTTATACTATTGTAATAATTTTATATGAATATTTTTGGGTTGTGTAACAAATTATTTGAGTTTCCGTTGTTTCTTATGGGGAAACTTGCTTCGATACACATGTGCTTTGGGTTACGAGCGTGTTTGGGGGATGAATTATGCTCAGAAGCCAAGGATTTACTGTGTGTTGCGAGGTGGCATTAAGGGAATGAAAGAACACTCTGTTATATGTAGTTGGTGGAAGCCCGTTCTGAGAAGGAGAGCTAGGCTCAGAGCCTGGGGCCTGGTGTTTTTGCTGGAACAGTGTTCAGGGAGGGGGGGATGAAGTTTAACAGCCCCAGAATCTGTTCTAGAAAAGGAAGAAGATCATAGAGAGCAAGCGAAGAGAAATGATATGAACATCTTAAATCTTCAAAAGTATTTTAAAACATTTAAAAATAACTCCAGGGAGATTTTAAAGTTTCAAAAATTCTAAAAGTGAAAATAGTACAGAGAATACTTGTACATTACCTGGCCATGTTTCTTCTCTGACCCATTCGAGGGTAACTATACTTTGGGCCTTGCTCTCTGAATACTAAAACGTGTATTCCCTAAGCATCAGGACTTTCCTCTTACATAACCACAATACCAACTTTAAACCTCTTTCCTTTTTAATGATGAAGAAATTGAGACATAGCCCATTAAAGAGCTTTTTATATGTATAAATCTCCCCTCACTTGTATAGTTAATTCCCCACTTGGACATTTTCTCTGGTTATCCATTCTGGTCACCCTTCAAGGCCCAGTGCCCTACTGAAAACCTTCCATGGCTCCAGCCTCTGATTCCAGAACATTACTCGTGGATACTTAACTTCTCCAGGCCACAAACAGCTTTAGGAAATGCTTGAACTGCTGTTTGCTTGGTTGTTGTTCTGTCTTTCTGTATCTCTTAACTCTTGGCAGAGTAATATACTAACGTAGACGTTTAATAAATAATCTCCACACACATGAGAATTGCTCCTAACCAGAGGAATCATAAGAAATTGAGAGGAAAAGTTTAACTATGGAGAAGTACCTCTAAAAAAGATAAAATAAGAATTAAGATTTTTTTTTAGACAGATCTTGCTCTGCAGTTCAGGCTGGCCTTGAACTCACTTATTAGCCCAGGTTGGCCTTGAACTCATGACGATCCTCCTGCCTCAGCTTCCAGAGTGCTGGGATCACAGATGTGCACCACAATGCCCAGCATAAAAACATTTTTTTTATTGGTACCAGGGATTAAACTGATGACCACGTACTTGCAAGTCAGGCGCTTATGTCACTGAGCTAAATCCCCAGCCCCAAACATTTTTTTTATACCACGGATTGAATTGACAACTTCACACTTGCTAAGCAGGTGCTTGTGCCACTGAGCTAAATTCTGGCATAAAAACATTTTTAACTGCAGGAGAAATAAAAAAGCCGAACAGGAAAGAAAATATAAATATACTAAGATACGAGACATTTGGAGTAAACAATATTTATAATCTAGTGCTACATTTTGGTTATTGAATAACAGCTGTGACATAAATACACTGTGAGGGTAGAGGGCAGGGAGGGCATAAGGAAACAAAATATTCATCTGCCACCCTAGGAAGTCAACTGATAATGTCTGAACTAAATGATGATTTAAGGACTAATATAACAAATCACAGGGGAATACGGCACCTAGCAGCAGAAGCAGCGAGTAACAAAGTTAGAAGTTACTTTTCTCTCTAAATTATTTGGGTGTCTCATATAAGAGAGGAGGAAGGAAGGGAAGAAACAGAAAGAAAAAAAAAGAGTTAAAACAAGTCATGTACAGCCACTGGCCATCCTGAAGGGGTGTAATCATTGTGCATTGCAAACAAATAAAAAACTGAAAATAAGAGTTATCGAGCAAGACTACGGGCTTTTCACTGTAAGTTTTTCAGCATTCCTCAATTTTTAAATTTTGTGCACACGACACTCTGGCAACATCAAAGCCACAATAAAGGGAGCCGGCTCCACTTCTCCCTCTTGCCCCGTGACAGTTTCTCCCTGTCTGGATGATGAGGTGTGTGTGAAGGTCCTTCTGTCCCCAAGTGCACTCCTCAGCTGTCAGGAGCCCCTGACGACAGAGGAGGCCTCCACAGCGGAGGGAGGGGCCGTGGTGGGCAGTGGGAGCACTGCAGGGGCCGGCAGGCAGGAGGCCGCTCTGAGGCAGAGTCCTTTGTCCTCCCATCCACTGAGGCAGGTAGTTCTCGGAGCCAGTCTTTCCACTAGTCCTGTTGGTCAGTGCTAGTACTTTTCCAGGGGGATGTTTAGTTCCCTGCCTCCTGGGCACAGGTCATAGGAAGACATCAGCTTGCCTGTGATGACCTTTGAGGAGGCTGAGTGCCTGAGGCTACTTCTTCCAGGTTTGCTCCCCGGGAAGGGAGTGGGACCCTCCGCAGGCCAGGTCCTCCTCATTCCACATTGACATCTCCTGTGAGCCCACAGCAGCCCTCACTTGACAGATGAGGAAACTCAGAGACAGGGAGCAAAATCCATACCATACTCCTGGGAGCTGCACCCACTTAGGATGTAATTTCTCTTGAACACTAACGAGCTCTGTTATTTGGTTTCTCAAGTCAAAGATTATTAGTTACAAGATATTGGAGAGGAGGAAGGGCCAATGGCAGGTGCCTGGAAAGAGGGCGTGGCAGCCTAAGGATGAGACCTAAATGCTTGAAATGCAGGGTGAGAGTAGCCAGCAGCCTGGACCGCAGTACTGTGCTGCGTCAGAGCCGTTGGGCTGCAGTGGATCAGGGTGCTGCCAAGTGTCCAGCCAGAGGCTGGGAGGCGGCCTGGGCTCAAGGCAGGACATGGGTAGCATGTTGTAGAAAACAATGAAGATGACCCTCAAGCCGGAGGGCCTTGGGGGATTCTGAATATAAAAGGTTTTGTTGTGAAGGAAAAATCAATGGTCTAGAAAACTAACAAACAAATGTCTGAGCGTGGTTTTAATGTGTCACAGTGAAAGGCGGCTGTGGTAGTGCTGTCATGTACCTACTCTGCACCAGTGGCCTGGGCATGGCCAGCCTTGGCGCTTGACACTTAGCAACTAGAAGTGGCACCGAAGTCCTGGCTGGCAGGGTGCGGGCCGTGCCCCCTGGATTGGCATGTGCCATCTCATCTCTGCAGCTACCTTGCAGGGTAGGGATCAAATAGATGACATGAATGAAGCCCTTGGCCTGGACTCACATGGCCAAGATGGGGCTGGCTCTGGGACCCCACTTGACTCTGCCCCGTCAGTAATCACAACCCACACCCTGAGCCCCAGACTATGTCTCCCAGGGCAACACTTTCCAGAGGGCAGGGAGGGAATTCGAAGAGGTCCATGCCCACTGAATGCTAGAACAGAATGCAAAGAACACCTCACCTCAGGACACAGAGGAAGAAATGTATATGTAGCACTTGGTTCCACTGTTAATTCCAGGCATGCACTGGGGCTCCTAGAACATAACATATCTCCCACAGATGGGGAAGATCACTGTATATTACATGTTTTACTTTTTAAGGAGAGTTTTCAGCTGGGCATAATGGTGCACACCCTTTAATCCCAGCACTCAGGAGGCTGAAGCTGGAGAATTGCCATGAGTTCAAGGCCAGCCTGGGCTACATACTGAGTTAAGATCAGCCTGGACTACATAGGGAGACCCTGTCTCAAACTACCTGCCTCCCACAAAAAGGGGAAAATGTGGTTTTAAAATGGGAAGGAGTGTTTGAGACTTTATTCCTAGAAGTTTAAGAATGGAAATCTGGACGTTAACCTCAACTCCCTGGTTTCTGCACTAAGATGTACGATTCATCCTCCCTGGGCCATCTAAACAGAGGGGAGGCAGAGACAGGACAGTGCTTCATTTTTGCAGAAAAACTGGATACGAGGACAGGCACTGCCATACCTAGAATCTTCCCAAATTCCACGCTGGTGAATTTCTGGTGCTGTCATTTTTTAGATGAGCAAGTGCGGTGTGGATGCAGAACCTGCTCAAGACTAGTCAGTGAGAGTGGCAGCTGTGCAGACTGGGAGGAGAACCAAAAAGCTAACCTGAGCCTTCCTGTGAGCTGGCACTTGGGCTGGGAGACAAGAAGAGCCAAGCTCTCCACTTCCTCACAAGCAACTGTTTGATTCAGAGAAATACTGGGTGAGATGATAGCAATCCAATATTGGCCTGTTTTGTTTTGTTTCATCTTATTGTTTTGTTTTATTCCCTTTAAATAAAAAAGAAAAAGATCATAGGACAGACAATTGGGAAAAATCTAAATACTACTTATGTAGCTTAGTAGTTTAAAGAAGTCATATAGAATTAATAGAGTTAAATTTTAGAGATTCACATGGAATGATATACTAGTGAAGTGCCTGGGATTTAGTTTAGAAAAACGAAGGGAAAGGGGGAAATTGGCAGGAGTTTAAGTGAAACAATGTTAGTCATGAAAAAAACAAAACAAAACAAAACAAAACAAAAAACACTTCTCAGTGGCAGTGCTGGATTTGAACTAAGTTTTCCCTGCTCCAAACCCGGATCCCAACTCACTCTGTTTCCACCATAGTTGTCTGTGGTGGTACCAGGAATCCTCTCCCTACTGTAAGCTGCAGAGCGGCAGGCTGTGTCAATGTGACTGTCTATGCTCTCCTGACAAGGGCACTTGGTGGCATGGGCAGCCACCAGAAATGCATCAGAATGATTTTGCAGTGAAATCCTATGAACTCTGGGAGTCAGCCTCCTCTTGGCTGTGAGCTAAGTCTGGACAACGCTATGTACCCACATGGCTTCCACTGGTGTCCATGGGGTGTACCAAAGTCAGCCATCTGTCTCTCTGCCTTTCCCTAGCAGCAAAGATGTCCTTTTGATCAGGGAAGTGTCCTGGGTAGGCTTGGACAGCCTTTCATCACCTGACTTACATCTGGAGATCAGAGATTTTTAAACCACACCCACTGGCTCAGAAAACTCCAGGGGCTGCAGTGGAAGGAAGGGATCAGGAAGGAAGGGTCCAGGTAGCTGGATCTCAAGCTCCCCATGCCCCATTTGAGTAGAAATTGCCTTTCTATCTGTTTTATATATGGAGTCTCCTAAGAATTGGTTCAAAGTAAAACTGGTTTGGCTTATAAAAAGTTCTTTGCAAACCTTACCTAGAGAAGTTTAGAGAGGAGAGACCCAGGTGGGCACCCATCTGACCCCAAAGCTGGTCCACTTCCTGTATGGCTGGGGATACTGGCTCTGCCCTCTGCTAGTGTCTGTCCTGGGATACGATGAGCCATCTGGATGTGGATGTGGGGAGGCTGGTGCTGTGCCTGGATGGTGGGGTCACAGGCAGGCTGGGTTCAGAGAGGTGCCAGCCTGGAATGCAGCCCACATCCCCAGAGGGCTTGTGTGTAGGAGGGGGCAGCCTCTGTGGGAAGTAAGGACCAGAAGGGCAGAGTGAGTGTGGGCTATGAAGCTCCCTGTGGGCTCAACAAATAGAGAAAGTCAGGCTCCGGGCAATGGACAGATGGCCAGTGTGTCAGAAAGGTCAGGAGCCAACAGGAAACTGATTAGTGACATCAGAGGCCATCTCTTATCCCAGTGGGGGATGCCTTGGCCCTCTTTTGCCCTGGCAGGAGCTGGAATCCAAATGAGCCTGAACTGGCAGCCTACAGCACAAGGCCACAGAGACAGCTGGCTGAGTGTGGATGTGCGTGGGTGTGTGGTGGCTGGGTACAGATGGGCAGCACATGTCATTACTACCACAAGTAGCTCTGCACACTGGCCTTTCCAAGCTGGGCATTCAGACCATGCTTCTCAACCCCTGTGCCACTCCAAGCCCTTTTGTATGCGTCTGTCTGCCTCTCCTATAAGCAGTATCTCATCTATTTGCATGGACACAGCCATGGTGCCCAGGCTGTTAACACATTAGAAGAGGCCTAGAAGACTCTGGAGGCAGATACAGTGATAGTAATAGAATCAAAATGAAAATCCTAACTTTAAAAAAGCAAACCCACAAAAAAACAAAAACAAAAACCTAAAATCCAGGACCCTACATATTAGCACAGGGAAGTAGTGGTTGGATGATTATAAGTCAGAAAATCCTGCTCAAAGAGATTGTAGAGTCCAACCCTTTCTCAGGATACAAAAATCTGTCATGGGTGACCCTGATATGGACACTTGGCTCACGCTTCCAGGAACAGGCATATGGAGACCACACATGGAAACCCATTCCAGAGTTTTCCTTTACATGGAGCAGGGAGCTCCTCATAGTGCTGCACCATGAAAAGTTACCCTTTATATGTACTTGTGTTGGTTAAATTTATGTTCATCTTGAGTGGGCTAACAAGTTCCCGGATTAGACACTGTTTGGGGTATTTCCTTGACATTTCTGGACAGAGTTAGCATCTGAGTCTCTGAATGTGGTGAAGCAGGCCGCATCCCCAGTGTGGATGGTCATCATCCAATCCACTGAGGGCCTGCAGAAGACAATGTATAGGGAAAAAGCTGGAATTTGACATTTTTCCAGCCGTACTTCTTGAGCTGGGAATATTCCATTTTATCTTCTGCCCTTACACTGGAATTTTTCATGGAAATCCCTGGTTCTCAGGCCTTTGAACTCACACTGAGTTACAACATGGCTACTCCTGGGACACCAGGTCGTAGGATGTCTCAGCCTCCACAACCAAGTAAGCCAACTCCTGATAATATATCTATTTATAATCCGTATCTACCTATATCTTCCTATCTGTATTCAGCTTGTTCTCCATTTGGTTCTGTTTCTCTGCAGATCCCACAGCTTTCGAGAGGAACGGCTACTCAGAAATGAGTTCTGGAGGACAAGAATTATGTTTGATTCACTTTTCATCATCCTCGGTGTACTGTACCAGCCCACATTGCGTGTGGTAGATAAAGAATTCAGAAAATAATTTTCAGAATGCTGAGTGAATAACATGAGGGACAGAGGCTACAATCCCAGAGCCATCCCAGTCCTGTTCACACAACTTTCCTCGTGAGGCAATTACACAACTTACACACTGTCAGCCTTGCAGCCAAGAATCGAGACCCAGGAATGCTGTTGCAAGGAGGGTGCCAGGCTGCACAGAGGGTACAGATCCAGAGGGGATGAAATTTGGCAGATAGAGCACCATATCTACAGAAGGTTTCTATTCATGTTGATGAAGGTTTAAGAGACAGAACATCTGATCAGCTCGAAGGGAAACTATCAACCCCTCAACTGAGTAGAACTTTAAAAGTTGGAGGAACTGGAGAGTGTTTTTTGTTTTTTAAGACAGGGTCTCACTATGTAGTCCAGGCTGGCCTGGAACTCATGGGCGGTCCTCCTAGTTCAGCCTCTGAGCTCTGGGATTAGAGATGTGTGCCACCACTCCTGGCTGGAGGGAAGTTTCCAAGGTGGACAAATGACCTGAGTCCAGGCAAGGGGTGGTCAGCACAGGCTGGGGTAGGGCAGGACATGCAACATGCAGGGGGTGGTTCCTGAAGAGCAGTAGCCTAGTTTTCCTGAGAGCTACAAGCACCTAGTGCAGTAGGGAGCTGCCATTTATCCTGCAAAGTTTACTGGCTCACAAAGGACTGAACCCATATACTCCACCTTACCGACACTGTCCTAATCTAAGAAGGTCAGATAAACTGACTGCATTTGGACTAAGCTGTTCCCTGTGGTCCAACTGCTAAATCTCAGTGCTGGTCAAAGCATCTCATCATATGGATAGATTAGGATTTTTTTCACCATAAACTATGAAATTTCCCTCTTCCCTCTTGTAATTGCAGCCCACAGCAATTACAAGACATAATGCCTCAGGACCATCTTCTTTTCCACTTTGTGAAATCATGCTAACTTGCAAACTGCTGCTGCTGTAACCTCCTTCTAGGCTTGGTCTTCCTGGCTGGGCACAGAGGCAGTGCATGGATAGCCATTGCCTGACAACACCTTACAATGGGATGGACAGCTGTCCTGAGCACCTGGAGCATTCCAAGTGCAGGCAGCTCTTGGAGGAGAGACATCATCTGCCGTAAGGCTGAGGCGTATGGGCTTGGGGCTCCCCACAGAGAATTTCAAAGAAGAAGTCTCCTAATGAATCGTTATTTCACTTTAGCATGTTGCTTACGGTTCAGTTCTTTTCATTCTTATCTTCCTTCTGCTCATACTCTCTGCCCCTAGGAAGTTTGGTTTTCACAGTTTTGGAGAGAAATCTACAGAACAAGTCTGCACACATTTTTTTAAGAAAAGTCCCATCTGAGGTTGACCTTTCTTTTAGGCATGCACAAACCCTGCTTACTTACTCTTTTTTCCATACAAGAGGGGCAAAGATTGGAGTGACTGCCTGGCGGTTCTGGTCACAGATGGGCTTAAATATTAGTCCCCAGTGTTGTGTGTGTCTCTGGGGATAAAATCTCTGCTGAGAGTTTTGGGGATCCTACCCTTTTTGGAGAATTTGAATCTATAACTACTCAATGTCACCAATTGGGGTGTGGGAGAGAAAATAACAGAAGGAGAAGGAGGTGGAGGAAAAGGAAGAGAGGAAGAGGAGGAGGTGGTGGAAGAAGAGGAGGAAGTGGAGGAGGAGGAAGGCTGACTACTCTAAGACAAAGCAAACAAAAGCTGGTGTAGAGTCCTCTAGTGGAAATACAGGGTTCATCTGTGTTCCAGTGCAGCTACTGAAGGTGTTGCCTAATTCTGAACTTTCAAAAAGGCTCACCCAGGGTTAAGGCATCCCATGGGCCCCGATTCCTTCCTGCTTTCTCATACTGTAGAGGTTGAGAGTGATTCTTAGTAACAACTCCATGGATTTATGACCTCATGAAGCTGCATACCACTTCATGGAATATTTTTTGTATGATATAGGAAGCAAGGCAGTGGTCTCCAAAATCAAATTGGTATGTATTTAAACATTCTACTGTTTCCTACTTTATGAGTTGGGACACGATTCTTACTCTGAGCCTCTTTCCTCATTGGCACATTGGAAGTATCAGCCCTCCTGAGATCTCAGAAGCACCACGTTCAGTCACAAATGCTGGTGCAGTGGCCCGATTCTTGGTAGGCATTCAAACATTAGTTCCATGAGTCCTCCTCGCCTCTATCATTCAGCCTTCTCCATCAGAAACCCTAAGCAGGGGCCAGGGCTGCAGTGAGACAGTTCAGGGGGTGCCAGCTGTTGGTAAGTGGGGCCCTCCATGCACCTTGCTCCTGTTTCAGCTGCTGTTTTCTTTCTTACTTTCTTACTGTAAATGCTCACCCTGAAAGTGCTGTTGCTCTTGGAAGTTCCTCTTTGAGCTTTTGAGAATGCTTAGAGAGGGAACAGAGAGGGCAGACTCAAGGTAGCAGGCAATCAGAGGACGATATGGCAGTAATCTGGAGTTGGGGAGGAAGAACGGGTTTTGTTTTTTAAGAACGGGTTTTGTTTTCTGAGACGATGAGAGTATCATCAGGACTCAGGGAAACAAGGCTAAGTCTCTCTATCAACAAACACCGAGCACTCTGCTTTATACCGGCTCAGCTTTCTAATTGGGATACCCAGCAAACTGGAAGCCTGGCTCCCCGCATTGTGTGCTTATGGTCCCAGTGACGTACAAGAGCTGAAAAGGTCGACTACAGCCTACTCATAGGTGCTAATTATACAGGTCCTAAAGGCTCCAAACTGAAGGCTCAACTGGATGTGCCTAATCATGGCAGGCTTCCTGGCAGAGGCAGGTTCTAAGCCCATTCCAGGGAAAGAAGGACCCAGGGCTGAAAAGGAAGAATTGAGGGGCAGGAACAGCAGATGCATGGTGCTCAGTGGGGGAAAACCCTCCTCCTCCAGGGCTCTGAGAGGCTCCCTCCGCCTGGCATAGCCAGGCCCAGGCAGAGGGCTGGGTCACTAGTGGTCTAACCTCGCTGGACCGGAGAACTCCAAAGAGCGGGTAGAGGAAGGCAGGCACCAGCGCCGCTGCTCCCAGGGGCACCGCCTCGGACACCCAGTACACGGCCGTCACCATCAGCACGTAGGCACACGCAGCCTCCTGAAGGGAAGGGAAGGGCAGGTTAGTCCCGGGAAAGGCTAAGTCAAGTATGGCCCGGTGCTGGGGCAGCTGGCACCAGGTACAGCCCTGCATGGTGTAATGCTGTTGCTGGGCGGCTGAATACAGAGGACCTGTTTTTTGTGGGTGAAGCTGTGACCACTCCGTGGGCCCGTGGCAGGCACACAGTCAGCGCTGGTGTGTGACACATTGACCACTGGGCTGCTGGACTTCTCATGGCTTGGCGGGTGCTTGAAACTGCAGTGGGTGGGGACTGAGATTCATCCCGGAGCCCAGATCCATGAGAAACTGAAGACATTGTTCCGAGTTTTAACTCAGACTGGAGCAAGTGGAGCAGACACTAAAGACCCAAGGCAAAGCTGGAGATGGATTCCTGACGTGGGACGGGCTCCCTGCCCACTGTCAGCACAGGGGTGAAGATCCTAGGGTGGGGCGTTTAGCCTGCACCCCGTGGAAGGGAAGCGGTAAGTAACAAGGGACATTTAGGAACAACCCCAACGCTGGCTCCCACACATGTTCTTCCAGCCCTGGGATGAGTCTCAGAAATATCCCAGAGAGATCCAGAAGGCCCCAAACCCCAGCCCTCTCTAGCTTTGCCCCTCAAAGACTAACTCTACTTTGCTTCGATTCTATGCTGGCTACCTGTAAGATTTTACTTGAAAATTAAAAAAAGGTTTTCACTGTTTTAAAATGAATAAATGAAATTACATCTCCTTGCTTCAGATTATTAGATAAAACAACTCCATTCAGCAGTAATCTTTTTGTTGTGAAGGTTAGTGTCAAATTTGTGACCTCAAGTGATCCTACTGCCTCATAGCTGGGATTATGGGTGTGCACTATCATTTAGTGGTAAATTTTAATACAATAAATTTCTAGGCAAGAATCTGTTGGCTGTTTCCCCCTCCAGTGTCCAGGCTGAGGTTCCTTTGTGCTGCACTCCCGCTGAGTGGCTGGGAGAGCCCTCTTGTGGGGTCGCTTGCAGTCAGCACAGAGCCTCAGGGGGAGATGAGGGAGAGGCAGACAGCAGTCCTGAGATAGGACCCTCACTGTGGATGAAGAAGAATGAACTCCTAACTCAATGCTTCTCAGCCTTGGCTTCAGTGACAGAGTGGGCTGGACAATCCTTTGTTGTGGGGCTGGCCTGTGCATACAAGGCATTTACCGTGTCTCCCTGAAAATAAGACATAACAATCTTAGCCAGGGATATAGCACAGCGGCACAGCACCTGCCTGGCAAGCACAGGGGTGTGAGTTCAATTCTCAGTACAACAAAACAAAAACCACAAAACAAAACACTTAATGACCTTTAAACTAGAAATCAAAATTGCCAGCCCCAATCAGCCTGTCCTTGCCTTGCCTGACTTACAGAGCAGCCACCAAGCCAGAGAACAGTGAGGTCGAATCTTCTGCATGATTTTGGCAAGAACCACGGTAACCAGGTAGGGCTTATTTTCTAGTTAGGGCTTATTTTCAGGGAAACACGGTAGCAGCATCTCTGATCTGTACTTGCTAGCTGCCAGTTGGGACAACTGAAAATGGTGCTCATTGCTCCTTGAGTCCTTTACCTCCCTGAGGGCCTGAGAGCATCCCTTCGCAAAGGGAATAGAAGGTCATCCATATGGAAGGGGGCTGGAAATTCACCAGCATTCCCTCCAGCCCACTCACTCTGCTCTTGGGTAACTGAGGAACCTCCCAAAAAATAAGTCCAAGTTCTTATCCAGAGGCAACCCCCTTAACTTTGGCCTCCAATGATGCTGACGGAGGTACTGAGGAAGGTTGCTAGGGGTGGCATCACCAAACTGCAGGATTTGAAGGGCCCTTTTATAGAAAATCAGGGCTACCATGAATTTCTCAGTTTTCACCGAGTTCCATACCATTGGGGCTCAGGTAACCTTCTCTGGCTGCTCCCCCTGGAACCTGGCAGATTTAGCTGTGTTTTCAAACTCTTGAATGCAGAACCAGTGACCTCCAACTGTCACATCAAAGTTACGAAAGGTTGCTGTGCTCAGTGAGGACAGAGGAGGCTCCACTGAAAGGAACCTTGCTCCCTCCAGATAGGCATGGTGCAGCGGGGGCCCACTGACTTGTTTGTGGCTCCCTGGGAGCTAAGAGATTAGAGAAGATAAGACTTTTGGAAGCACTGATAGTACAGAAAGGAAAAGTATCTTCATTTGGGAAAGAATGTAGCTGAGGCAGGAAGGTCTCCATGAGTTCTGGAGCCAGCCTGGGTTACATATTCGAGGTCAAGCCCAGCCTACACTAGGTAGCAAGACCCTGACAAAAAAAACACCAAAAATGAAAACAACAACAAAAAAACACACCATTAACCCACCAACCAACCAAACAAAACAACACACACACACACAAAGCAATAAAAAATGCAGTTGAGAGAAATGCCTTCTTCACAGTGGAAATGAAACTACTTGAAGGAGTTCAAAGCTCTCTGGAGCCTACTTCTTCTCATTGTCTTTCTGGGAAAAAGACAATGACAGGTCTTAATTGTAGGTAAGATAAGGGGACAGCCAGTCTCACTGGGAAGCCGTTGTCCTGGTTATCAGAGAGTCACAAATCAAGTCCTTATGCCACCTTTAGCCAGCAAATTGCACCCACTTTCTTCGGGCCCTCTCTCAGTCTCCCAGGCATTCACTTCGCAGGCCTGGCTTCAGAACCCAAGACGCTGCAGCGCTCCATTCTAGGTGTCCAAGTCTCCCTTGTCTAACCGGGAGGAATATTCTAGAAACCCCACGGTCACTGCTCATCAGGAATTTGGGAGTTGTTAGCATTCAGGGAACACTTTTAAGGGCCAGTGTGAATTTTTTTTTTTTTTTGGCTACTGTTCAAAATAATGGAGACAGTTTAAGAGGGGCAGATCCCTGCATAGAGTGTTGCTACCTTGAGACTATCTTAGGTTTAGACCTACTGCACCACCACAGCATCAGTAGCTTGACATGTATTCATTTGCTCTTTGTAAAATTTAGCTTAGAAGGTTGGATGCCGCGTTTATCCCACTGGGGACACTGAAGAAGGGCTCAGTGATGGATGGCTTCGCTTGCAGCCACTTCAATTTTTATTTGGGCAGGAAACACAGCTTTAAGAATGCTAAATGAGCACGGTATCACTGAGCTACATCCCTGCCCTGCCCCTCCACATGGTGGGTGATATGACCAGCAGATCTGGGGAGTCATCTGCATTCTTTTAGAAGGTAGCTGTGGCTTGGCATCCTGAAGAACCATCAGAACTCAGCCAGGAACTCTTGCCCAAGTTCTCAGCCAATGCTTCCTGCCCCAAGAGTTCTAGGGATTCCAACACAATGGGTGAAGGGATGGGTGAGACATGATTAGTGTTGGGTGCCTAACCTGGGCATCCTGTGTGTGGACACTGCCTTAAAGGACAGTCAGGCTCCTTAAAACTGCTGCGGGGAAGAAAGGAATTTGTCTCTTGATTCCTTTAAGTCAAGCTGACATTGAGTTAAAAGCACCATAAAAAAAGGGCAAAAGGGGCCCATTTGGAAAACACACATGCTGACCAGTGGGCACCAGGAGAGATGCCAGCAGAAATTGCCATCTATTAATCCCCACCCAGGGTTCATCGCATTCCCCCCCACACTCTAGATTATTCTGTTACTAAAGATGTTAGCCAGCCTGGCTTTAAGAACAATCCCAATCCTCTCTATTTAACTTTTTAATTTAATTTTGGTTCCAAGTGACCCGAGGAGTGAGTGTTCTTCCCCTCCCACTACCAGAATTTCCTGCTGTGGCTTACTTTTTCTGAGTCTCAAGGGTAGCATCAGCTGGGTGCAGGTGTAAAGCCCAGCCAGGAGATGAATAGAGAGAAAGGGAAGGGAGGAAAACAATGGGTCCCAGAAACAAGGATCACAAAGTCCAGGCACCACTCTCTGCTTATACAATCTTTGTTAAAACCCGGGTCATAGTCCAGAGTTTGGGGCCACATTTATTTCCTTTTTCTTTAGTTTTTTTTTAGATCAAACCCAGGGCACTCTACCATAGAACTACATCATGAGCCCTTTTTATGTTTTTTTATTTTGAGGCAGAATCTTGCTAAATTGCCCAGACTGGTCTTGAATTTGCAATCCTCCTGTTTCAGCCTCCCAAGTAGCTGAGACTACAGGTATCTGTCGTCACCTCCATCTACCTCATTTCTCTGTCTTGTCTTTTTCCAATTGTCCTCAGGAGCATAGAGAAGAAAACACAGAGGATGCAGATAACCACAGGGCCATGTGTGCAGAGCCACAGCAACATGCCAAGCTCTACTGACTTCAGCTTTCCTGCCCTGCAGTTTACAGGGAGCCTCAGTGATTCAGATTTTCAAATTCTGGTTATCAGTGCCCAGCATGACTGATCACAGTGCTGGATCGGTTCTATGATGCCCTCCAGCCCCGTCCTTGCCCTCTGTGTACCAGGCTTTTCTGTGTAGGTAGCGAAGGTTTTTTCCATAGTGTCCCAGTGCACCCTTATGGGTCCCTGTGCCTGGCCTGGTGCAGTCAGTGAGTTCAGCCAAGGTGCCCTTTCTGACCTGATGCCTGGCTGGACCCACAGGGTTGGAGAGAGGGAAGAGGTTTTGGGAAGAAGGTATTTTACCCCCCCCCCCAAGTTCATCTCTCAAACACACAATAACCCACATCGGGGTGCTGCCGTAGCTCCCCATTCTCTCTGCGCCCTCCCTTGTGTGCCCTGGCTCGGTCCAGGAGTACTTACACTGCTCGGGTGCAGGATGGGCAGAGGCAGCAGCAGCAGGGGGACACAGATGACCAGCAGCAGTTTCCTGGCCCCGAGGAGACCCTGCAGGAAGCCCATGGCGGCCCTACCTGTGCTCCTGCCTCCCTGCCTCCTCCCTAGGCTGTTGTCTGGCCAGGAAGACTTCTTAAGCTGGGCTGCCAGAGCCCTCTCTGGTCTTGGGGGGCGGAAGAAGGGTGCTGTTACACCCCTGTTACCTCTAGAGGTGGGCTCCTGGCCTTCCTCCTAGGTGGGACTGATGAACATGGTTTTTTGAACAGCAGAAAAGAACTGTACCAGGGTGGTAACCCGGGGCATAGTGGGCTCCCTCTTGGCTCAGTTAACAAGAGAGGATCTTTATGTTCCCTGTGGGCAAAAGCTCTCCCGAGCAATTAAAATCACACTTTTTGCTGCTTCTGTGTGGCCTTGAAGAATCATTTAACAGTTTAAAAACTGCTAAGACAGTAGCGTGCTGGTCATTATTTTCCCTTTGGGTGACCCATGGCAGGGAGGATCTGTTCCATCTCCTACCTGGCTCGCAGGTGTAAAAATCTGGAAGCCCCTTCTCCCCAAATCGGTGCCTAGGAGTCCCTCACTTGAGATCTGCTGCTCTGTCCCAGACCCTGGTCTCCCTACCTCGTTCCAACTTTCTTTCCTTCAAACTGGTTTCCTACTGCTAATTTGCCTTGAGCCTGGGCCTCCAAAGCAGAGGAGGAAAGAAAAAAAATTCCCAAGACATTCCTGATTATCACAGGACAAAAACTTGTGGGAGGTCCATTTTTAACTTTAAGCTACCAATGAGAGGCCCAGACAGAGGCCGTAGCCACACCCATGCCTTAAGGCCAATCAGCAAGTTGAAAAGAATTAGTCAGTATCTCTTCCAAAGACAGCTCTTGATTGGTCACAGCAGGGGCCTGCTGATTGTGCAGGACCTAGGCAGCTTGCAAAGCTTATTTTTCCATTTCTCAGACATCCTAGGGGCTGGAGTGATGATCATTGTTGTAAACATAATCCCTGTTCCCCAAGCACTGCTTTGGTGTTTCTAAGCTGGGGCACAGATCTCTCCCTTGGAAGGGCCCCTTGCTGATCTGGCCCTCCTGAAGGTGGCAGATCCCAGGCCAGAGAGGAAAAATGTACTATTAATGTTCCAGAGTGTACAGTGTTACCTTTCTGACTTCCCTGCTGGCCAACATTGTTTCTTCCATAGTGTGTGTGTGGTGGTGGTGGTGGGGGGGAGGAATACAAAGTTTTAGCTAAAAGTGTGACACTGTAAGAAGGACCCTAGGATTTAAGGAAAAGGAGAAGAGTAGTGGCCTCTCTGGGCAGGTCTGGACACCCTTGTTTCACTGGTGCCAGTGGTCTTTTTGGCTGGACAGGCACTCAAATAGTCTTGACTAAGGGCTCCTCTGACTGACACACAGGAGGAGGTGGTGGGGAGGGGAGAAGTTGACAAGTCGAGGAAAAAAGGCTCAGGAACTGCAGACCCTGGAATTTCTGGTCTTTACAGATCAGGAGAAACAGCCTCTCTTCTAAGAAAGGGCTTGGAGTTTTGGGATAGTGAGGAAAAGAAAAGGAAAAAAAAAAAAAAGAAAAGAAAAGAAAAGACACCAACCTTCTCTACGTGGTAGTCTTGGCAAAAGTACTTTGATCTGAGAGCTGCTGGGCAGAACCAGGGCTTATGAAACCCATTTTGTCCTCTCGAATGCACGAAATTCAAGGACTGGTACCTTCTAAGGTGTGCAGCAATCACAGTTGGAAATGATCCCCAGGCCAAATATGAAGTGACCAGGAGGGTGGCCCGAGAAACCAGTTGTTTGGGACTTTTAAGACAGCTGCAAATGGAAAGCCCAGATCTTGAAAGTTACTTGGCCACTGTAATACGAACTCCAATAACTTATATCTTTGTGTACATCTTCCAGACTGGTTGTTGTATTTACTGTGTTATGGCCTCATTTTTATAATGAGTTTTAAATTCAGAATGAACAAGACCACGTGTGTGATATTTTAGCTGCAGAGAGAGACTAATAAAAATAGAAGTCAACATCCACTATCAACCTAAGAACCGCTTAAATTCCTTGGTGACATAACCTGAGAATAACAAAGAATACAGTGAGTTTAGCAACATGACTGTGTTATTTTTATTATGTCATAGATGAATATCTGCAAATAAAAAAAGGTAAGGCAAGAGCCACAGTATGACAAATAGTTCTCCTTCAGGACTTTATCCATTGTTTCAGACAAAGGAAACACCTTCTGTATCCACGAAGACAGGTAAAGCGGTCAAGTTCTTAAGAACAAGAACTAGAATGACTGATTGCCAAGTGCTTGGGGGGGGTGAACAAAGGGAAATTATTTAATAAGATAGTTAAATTATTTTAATAAGAGCTTCAGATTTTGCGATGAAGTTTTTGAGTTTGTTGCACTGTAGTGTGTGGCGGGGGCAGAGCTCAAGGACAGCACTCACCCAGTATGCAGAGGCCCTGGGTGTGTCCCTAGCTCCACAGTCAAACAGGCAGCAGTTGGAATATGGTTTATACCACTAATATAGTTCGCTAATAGAGTCAAGATGGCATATTTTATGTCATTTTTTTAACCAAGGAAAAAAGACAGGCAAGACATTAAAAGGAGTTAAGAAATTGCTCTGTGAAGCCTTTAATACGCATTTAGTTCTGGACCACTTTACCTAAATAAAAACCAAAACCTTTTCACTGATACATGCCTTGTATGATTCTTTTTTTTTATTATACTTAAGGTGAAAAGAGAGAGAAGTCAGTTTTAGCTCAAATGATGTTTGTCATTGTCTTTGAGTGACACCATGGATGACAGCCTGGGTCCTGAAATTTCCTAGCAAGTAGAAAGGGTGGAAATGATTCTGTGAGTCACAGATGAGTTTCCACTATAAATATCACCCCCAAGTTATTCTCTGGGTAAATATGGTGAAATGTGGCCCCCTGTGACTGTAGCTGAGCATGGCACAAAAGAAGCAACTTCTCTGCTGTTCATCGGGCAAAGGGTGGATTGTTTCTGAGTAATGATCATGAACATATTTGATTCTGTATGCCAATGAAATCATTGTTATAAAACTCTGTGGGAAAAAAGTCTATATTTAGACCAAAGTTAAAAATCTAGTTAGTGAAAATGGGGTCTTCTTTTGTCTTTCTAAAGGTCTCGTCTTCCATTTTTTCCCCCCTAGGGCATTGACTACCGCATAAATTCAAGCCCTGATCTATGTCTGTAAAATGCCTTTGATCTTTGTTGTGGGTGAATGTGCTGCCATTGCTACCTGTGGTCCTGAGAATGAGCCTCTCGGTTGGTCACAGATCTCTGCCTCCAAGAGCAGCCCTCTGTGCTGTGAGGTCAGGAAGAATGCACTGATGAGTCCAAGCACCCGAAGGCTCAGATGGGGTAGAGTCTCAGTGTTGGACGTGAGACTGTCCAGGCATTGCACTGTACGTAGGAACTGAGGCTGTTGTGGATCCCTCCCCACCTCCAGCAAAAAACAAAAAGCAGAAGTTGGCTATAAGGGCCGTTTCCTCTGGGCAGTGCCAACTCTGCCTGCACATCAGCCTTTGTCTTGTACAAAAGAAATGGAAAGATGCTATGTGTTACAGTGCAGGAAGGGGAGTGGGAACAGTTGGGAGTGGGGAGTAAAAATGATCAAGGTGAGATAAGTATATGTGTGGCAAACATGCACGAGAGAGAGAAAGAGAGAGAGAGAGAGAGAGAGAACAGAAAAGAGACAGAGACAGAGACAGAGAGACAGCACAACATCAACAAGAAGACAGAAACTGAAAATGTATAAAAGCAGAAAGATTCTCAGAATCTACCAATGGCCATGTGGCTAGTGCTAATGAGGGAGGCTCATTTGCTCAGAGACTTTGAGGAAGTCCAGTTGTCTTCCCCACCAAATGACAGTTGCTAACTACCTTTTTCAGAATCAAACTGAGTTCAGAAAATCCCACTCCTTCAAAGATCAGCTTTCTTGCAATTTTAGCCTCCAGGACCCAGCTATAAACCGAGGAAGTGAAGCCAGAAAGATCCCTGTGCTGTTACGGGAACCTTATCAGGTACTTTACTCCATCATCTATTAACTCTTGTTTAACACAGAATGATAACAAGCCCAGTTATCTCGGTTTTCAAGCAGCAGCGGTGTCTAAGGAAGAACAAACTTCCACAATTCCAGAGGGCAAGTTGGGACCGGTGAAAAACTCTGTTATTACAATGAAATATCAGATGTCACGTAATGAAGCAATGAAAAATGACCTCTTTACCTGACAGAGAGGGAGACCACAGAGAACTCAGAACAGGACACAAAACTGGCAGAGACTGGGGTCTGGCCGGGCTGGTACCAGAAATCTAGCCGACCTCACACATCAGACCCTTCCCTATGTAGTATTTCACAGTTACTAAATGTTTGTAGAAATCTGATAGACAGAAGGAATTTTAGAGCTTATCTTATCTAACTCCTTCATATGAGGTAGTCCAAATGATATATAATATGTGTGCATAAAATGTCTGAAGCTTTTATTTGGAATAATATATATTTAAAATTGATATCAAGTCAGTATTTCTAAACTAAAAATGTTGGCATTTGAAAGGGTAAGATTCTGTCACCTGAGGATCATTTCTTTTTTGGTGCACTTAATGCTCATGAGGCTAAGTTATGACAGATGGGCATGGGTGCCAGGTCCCCTCTTCATTAGGAGCTTCTCCTTGTGTTCACATGGTGTCTCTATTCAGAGGACAAGGTGAGAAGTGGGTGGTGGCATTTCTGTGGCTTCTTCTTGTTCCTCCGATGAGAATAGTGTTCAGAAAAATGAGTCTAGACAATGCAAGTCATAAAACTACTGATTTTCTAACCAAATCTTCTTGATGGCTTTTGGAAATCAGTTGTCCTTGGTGAACACTGTGTTTATTGGGGTGTAACCCTGTCTTCTTTATATTACTGTGGAGCCTTTGGGAAAAGGTTCACTCAGCCCAGTTCTTGGCCCCTAGGATCCAAGAAATCTGTCCCCCATTATCCTGCTGTATCACACCCCTTGGTATCATCTCTAGCTCTGTCCCTCTTGGATGTATGCTGATTGCTTTATGGTGCAGCAATCTTACATTTCTGGGTGTCCCAGGCAAGCCATGCTGCCTCTGAAGACATCTGGGATGAGTTGTACAGCTTTTTATCAGCCCATGTCACATCGTGATGGCCCATGGCACAGTCTCCTGGTATTTTGCGTCTCTGTTATGTTTCTCTGGCAGTCTCTATACTTAGAGGAGAGAATGAGCTTTCTAGATTATTGTGTGCTGGTCCCTGGCTTGAGGTCCTGGTGTGGGCCAGGCTTTGAAGGGGAAACCCTGGGGCTTGAAGATTGAACCAAGTCATGTCTCAGAGCCTGGAAGAGGCTAACGAGGGCCTGGGCCCAGACGTCCTTCTGGTACCCTTGGGACAGGGCTGTGCGGTAGGCCGTGTAGGCCAAGGTCAGCACTGTCCGCTCAAAGTCTTCTTTCTTGAGGATGCCGGGTCGGCTAGCCAGGTTGGCACTGAGCCGGCGGATATCAGGGATGCGCTTGGGGATCACATCATTGCAGATGGCGCGGAAGTTCGAGGCCTTCCGCAGGGAGGCTAGCTCCTCGTCCTTGACAGAGATCTTCAGGTCAGGGCTGATCTCCAGCTCGGCCAGCAGGAGCTGAGGGAAACACAGGATGCAGAAAGAGGTGAACCTGGGCATCGTACACAAGCACACAGCTACCATTGCTGTCACACAGGTTCACTCAGGGAGGGGGCTGGGGAAGAGTCCTGGGTACCGGCTCTGACCTCCCTGCTTCCTGCCCCACCGGGGACAACTTAGCTGACTTCTCTGAGCCTTACTTCCCCTCTCTGTAAAATGATTAGCACACCTACTTCATGGGGGCATTGTGAGCATTCCATAAAACAAATACAGATGAATCTAACATAGCGTCTGATACAGAGCCACTATTTAAGTGTCCAATTATTGTCTCCAGTGAACCAAACCAAACCTTTATCTTTCTCCCTCTCACCCACCAAAGATCTTCTAAAGCATAAACTGATAGATGGACTTTTTTATTTTTCTTTTTTGGAACCAGGAATTGAACTCACAACCTTGCACTTGCCAAGCAGGTGCTTGAGCTGCTGAGCTAAATCCCTGGCCCTGGGCTTTTTTTTTTCTTTTCAGAACTGGAGATTGAACCTAGAGCTTTCCCATTGAGTTATATCCCTTCTTAAATCTTTTATGTTGCGATGGGATCTTGCTAAGTCAGAAAGTTGCCCAGGTCAGGTTCCAACTTGTGATCCTCTTGTCTCAGCCTCCCAGAGTTTTGTGATTTCAGATATATACCACATGCCTAACTATTTAGATACTTTCACAGCAGAAAGTGGGACTTCAATGCCGCACCTTGCATTAGGGGTTTAGTGGGAGTCAGATTTGCCTTCATTTCTCTCTGGCTTGTAGCATAAGGGCTGGATCTGTCATCTGCCTCCGTGTCCACAGCCAGGCTCACAGGAGGAGATGCATACATTCTGGGCTGGAATGATTCCAGGTCCCAAGTCTTCCCAGTCTTCACCTTCTTTTTAACCTACTGTCCAACACTGTCTGATATCTTTCCAAATCATGGATCTGTCCTGTGATTCCCAGGTTCAAGGTGGGGCTAATGCTATGCATTTGCCAGTCTACTCCCATGGCAGTGCTGGGCATCTCTGCCCTGGGCCCCTGTGTGGCCACATGGGCTGTGTTTTTCTTAACCAAATGGTTCTAGGGCATGGAGCCAGAGGATGCCAAAGCTGGAGGGCAGTTTGGGGAATCAGAGCTGAACTCTTCTGAGCATAACAGTTGAGAGCCAGGCCCAGAGAGAAATGGTGGCACACCTGAGGTCACCAGGCTGATGGACTAAAGCTCAGGCCCTGGCCCTGGGACTGCACCGCTGCCCTGAGCCAGGCAGCCTTGGTAAACAGGCCTGTGGTTTGGAGGCCGGGTTAGTGGTAGCACAGGGTCTGTAGGGTGGCTTCTGAATTGAGACCCTAGGCAGGCTAGCAGGTCAGGAGGGAGCTTTTCTGTCACAGCAGCAGGGCCTTAGACACATGCCACATGCAGATCCTACCCATGCCCCAGATCTTGAAGCCTTCTCTTGGGTATGGGCCCGCCTTGGGTGCCTGAGTGTGGGCGTTGCACCCTTGGGATCAACCTCTCATTTTCTTGAACTGAACTCGCAAGGCCATCATCCCCACTGTGTCCCAGGAGGGGAGAAGAGGCACCAGAAGTCCTCGGCTAGGGACAAACGTGGGTCCAAGACCTGCACAGTTAGTCTAGGTCATCTGTTGCTGAGGCCCAGGCCAATCATGTCTGTGCACACACAGACCCTGTCTCCTCTTCCAAAAGATAGAGAAGGTACAGGTTCCCTGGGTGAGCGGGGCGGACCACCTGCCCTCTCCTACCTCATAGAGTAGCTCCACTTCCTCCAAGGAGGTCTGCAGGATGGGGTTCAGCGGCACGGAGGAGGACCTCTTTGGCCGGTGGGCAGCAGGGAAGAGTACGGCTGGAAGAAACGAGAGTGAGCTGGGCTGCTGTGTGCACACCGGGCTGCCTGGCTGCACTTCACCTTGAGCAAAGTCATGCTTCTTCAAAGTGAGCAGACGGGTTGCAGGTCGAGGGCACGGACTCCCCCGGCAGCAAATCCCTAGACTAAATCAGAACAGTAGCTTCCAACCCGGTTGTTCATCAGAACCACTGGAAAACGTTTGGAAAAACTGACACGCCTGGGGAGATGTCTGTGTTAACAAGTTCAACAAGTGGGCTGCTAAAAATTCTCTTCCCCAGTAGTACCACAAAACAGAGCGCTTTGTCTCATTGGTATGCGTTGCTGGTTTATAATTTAATCACAGAATCAGACTTTTGGCCACCATTCCCACTGGAAACAGAGCTCCCAAGAGTCTGAACACAGTGACAAAAGGAAAGAAGAAAGCTGCCCTGAGGCTGCCACTTGGCTGTAGGGGACCTCTGGCCAGCTCAGAGCTACCCCTGGCAGGCGGGGGGCTGACGTGGACTTATGCTGCCTGTCAAGCCAGTGGCCAGTTAGACCACGCTGCTCCACAGTGGCTGCATCTACAAGCCGTAGCTGGAGGAAGACGAGTGGGCTGCCAGAGGGACACAGTAGAGCAACAGCAAGGCCGTGACAAGGGACACAGAGGGCAGGCCCACCCGGGGAGTAGGGTGATCACTGGAATGCTCAGCTCTTCAGCGTCATACCTGGCGAGGAGCGAATAGCTCCTTCCACCTGCACAGCCATCTGCAAAGCAGGCCCTGTGCAGAGGTGATGGGCTAGTGGACTTCCCATGATATAAAGCAAGGGCAGCTTCTTCAAGACTCTGGAGTATGAGCTAAGCATGGAAGGGTATGCCTGTAATCCCAGCACTCAGGAGGCTGAGGCAGGAAGATCACTGCAAGTTCCAGGCCACCCTGGGCTAGATAATGAATTTGTGCATCAAAAATAATAATAACAGCAACAATAATAACAACAAAAGACTCTTGATTATAATTTTCCAGCAAATTGGGGGAGGAACTATAAAAATCAGCCTGTGATGTGAGCCTGAGGCCCTCAAGTTGGGCAAGAGCTATGTCTTCATGACTGTAATAATGCCCTGCTGGTCACTGCACCCTTTGGCCCTGGAGAAAAGACCAGACTATGTTCAATGTGTCACACTAATGAGGGCTGGAAATGTGTAAAGCATTTTAGAAAGTTCCCATGAGAAGAGATAAAAATGATGCGTCTTCCACAGAAGAGCAGCTTTGCTGAACAGCTCCCTGCAGGTCTCACTGCCAGAGGAAGCTGGCTGCTGTCGTGTGGCTGAAACGTGGCCATCACAGGGACCCTGTGTGCTCCAGACTCAGCTCCTCAGCGCCCGGGGAGCGAGACCACTTTGCCTCTGCCTTCTCCCCAGTGGGACAGCAAACCAGGACGGCCAGTCTTAGGTCAAGACATGAGCTGTTTCTTTCTGTGCCTTTCTTTTCCCACCATGAAAGTGGGGAAAGACTCCCTTTCAGGGTAGGATTTGAGCGTGGCTTTACTCCCCTCCTGCCTCTTTTTTTCCTCTCTCCGTCTCCCTTCCCAGTCCTCTAACAGCAGAGCTGAGGGAAGCATTTCCTGGTTCAAAGCTCAGTGATGGAGTTGTTTCCAGCATTTCTGCGTTGTTCTGATGTCTGCTAACACAGCCTGGTGTTACTGTGGAAGGGTGTGTGGGGAACTCAGGACTCAGCATTGGGCCCAGCCTCCCTTTCCCCAGCCCTGGCATCGTGCACCTGGCAGGGCTGACTGACCTCATGGTTCTATATCCACATTAACCATGAATATTGGCCATCAGGCAGGGTAGAGGGCATTGGTGCTGCCTCGGGCTGCTGGTGTGCAGGTGCTCAGTCCTCAGTGGACATCTCAGAGACTCAGCATCTGCCAGGTGAATGCATTCCCTTTCACTGGAGATGCTGGGAGCTAAACATCTGGTCACTCCCAGGTGTTCCTGTCCACCATGACAAAGGCTGGCTCCAGCTAGAAATGCCAGCGGCCAAAGCAAGAACTGCCCAACACCGAGCTCTAGACATGAAAAACCTGAAACTAGACTTGCTCCTTCCTCACTAGAAAAACAGCGCTGTCTCCCCAGGAGCCTCTCCCCTTTCCCTGTCATCCCATTCCTAAACTTATGGAGGCCCTCGCAAATTCTGCTCCTTGCTCTCTGCTCTGGGGCAGCTCAGGACTCATGAGGAGCGAGACCTGAGAGGTCTCCTTGGATGCCCACCATCCAGGCACCCCCCTGAGATGGGAGGATGAGAAGGGAACAAAGAGGAGACAGCCCCTGGCGGGGAGCACAGATGCACACCAGAGTCCACGGAGCCTCAGCCCAGAAGGCTGCTTGGAGATTTGTATCTTTTACTTGGCTCTCCATTCACTGATGCACACTTGGCTACTCCTCAGGCATTTTGTAGGTTTGTGATCTATGAGGGCCATGCAGTGTGCCTGTCCTGGGGATCCCCAGGAATCACTTATCAATCATCAATCATCAGTCATCTGCTGCACAGGCTAGGCTCAGGGAGGGAAACTGAGGCTCCTTCCTTCCTGACTCCCCAGTTGGATTGTGTCTCTGACACAGTGCACCAATCAGTGCAGAATGGGTTGTGCACATGGATGGGTCCTGAGGCAGAGCTCACGGTTACTCCACGCCCTGTCCAGGCCCGTCACCAGGCTTTGTACACGAAAGTAAGTGCTAACCTCCCACTTTACAGCTGAGGAAAACTGGAGCATATGGAACTCGGTGTCAGCCACCCCTTTGTTCCAGATAGGACTGGGATTAAGATTCAGACTCCCAGACGCCAAAGCCCCATTTCCCTGATAGGCTGAACAATGCTATCTTCTCACAGGGACTGATGTCTGTCCAAAGGCTGGATGCGCTGCAGTTCCTGGTAACTATGGGATGATCAGTGTAGTTTGCTACGAATAAATGGGTCCTTTTGGTACAGAACATGTTTTTAAATAAAATGTATGTATTAAATCTCTAATTTTGACTTATGACTCTATGATGTGCAAGGTCAAACTACAACCATCCCCGGGACTTGTGTAAATCCCAGCTCCTTTGCTCCCTTCTCACTCCTTTGGATTTGCTTGGCAAGAGCACACCTTGGCTCCCCACTGTTGCACCCCTGCAGCGCATGTGTTAGGAGGAGAGCACTGAGGCACAGTCACTTACTTGACAGGGTTTTTTTTTAAATGGTGGTGGCGCTGGGGATTGAATCTGGCACCCCACACTGCTAGGCAAGTGCCCTACCACTGAGCTACGTCCCAATTTTTTTTATTCTTTTTTTATTTTGAGGTGGAATCTCTAAGCCCATGCTGGGCTTGAACTTTCAATCCTCCTGCCTCAGCCTCCCAAGTAGTGGCGATTACAGCCCGACTGACAGGGACCCTTACATGCTGCCTGCCCACCATCCTGTCTGCCTCCCCCTCATCCCCCATCTTCTCGGTGACCGCTCGCTCTGCACCTTCCCTCCCCGTGGGCCAGCTGCCGGCTCCTGCTCAGACTGGTGGACTCCTGTGCTCTCAGGCCAGGCTCATTTAGAGCCCTGCTTTCCACGTGTGAGTGGAGTTCCCGCAGAGATGGCGCCCTCTACAATCCAAACTTTTATTTCCAAATCATCAGCTCCTTCCTCGCAGCTGGATCTCTCACAACAGCATGAAAACACATTGTTCATCCTCCACCATAATGAACAACGCCTGCTCCGGCTGCCGTCCCGGGCTGCAGCGTGCGGGCTGCGGGTGTGTCTGCTTCCGGTGCCTTCCGCTCGGCTTTTCCCCACTACGTGTCTGGACTTCCTAAGGGAGCCCGCTTTGTCCTTATGGTAGCTGTTTCTCTTTGCCTCAGTTTCCAGCCCCTGACACGCACATGCACGCACGCACTCACGCACCCCTGACTGATCCCCAGGCTTTCCCTCTTTCTCAGCTGCTCAGCCGTCATCTCTGACTTTTTCTGTCTTTTTTTGAGCAGATCCTGCTGCCTGAACCTCAGCCACCGTTAAGGCGCCTGGCCGCCGCTTGTCACAGCCCCGCCGCCTCGCCTCCTGACTGAGCATTTCCCACGGCTGTCCTGGGCTCTGGGTGACTCCATCCTTAACACAGCAACTGGAGTGAATTCGAGCCGCTATGGGTCTGACAGTGCTGCTCCTCTGCCCCCAATCCCCCTTTGCTTGTTCACCTCTCAGACGTGAGCCAAAGAGCTGCAGGTGGCTACAGGAGCTTCACAATTTGACTTCCTTCTGCCTCTCTGCACCCATCTCCTGTCCCTCCCTGGCTCACACCACCCTGGCCACAAAGCTTCCTCACTGCTTCTGAGCATACCAGGCAAGTTTCTGCCACAGGGCCTTTGCATATCTGCTCTTCTTTTAGAATAGAGACTGCATGACCTTTCCCCTCACCGCTTAGGTCTTTTGGCATTTTCTCAATGATGCCTTCTATGAACACTATATTTAAAATCAACTCTTCCTACGTTACTGACATCCAAAAATCACCTATTTTATTTGTATGTGTGTTCATTTTCTGTCTCCCTTCCCTTGGGATTTTGTTTTGTTCACTGCTATATTCCCAGTACCAACCACCAGGCCCATTACTGTTTGTTGAATGAATAAACAATCCTATAGCATTGCATTATCGATGCCTGTCACCAAACCCGATTCTTCCCAATCAGAATACTTTACGAAAGGCTTCCTCTTTAACAGGGTCGTTCTAGAGATTATTTGCAGTTCTGGGTCCTGGCTAATGACCAAAAGCACATATTGATTCCATCTCTACCACATCTTCCCTTATCTCTCAGGAGTTCCTGCTCTAGCCTGGAAGGCGCAATTTTTAATTTATCTGAGTACAGGCAATTGCTATCTCCTCCGCTTTATCCCTGGAGAGTCTCTGGCCTTGATGTACAGTGCCAAGTCGAGCAGCCGGTTTTGTGCTGTGGTTTGACCTTCTCTTGGATTTTTCAGCTCTGTGCTGGGTTAAAAAAGTCTTTTCTCCTCTTGACCTTCCTGTACTGCTCCATATAACAATGTCAAGGCTCCCAGGTTTTCACTGTGTGCAGAGCACTTGAGCCCAAGAGCTCGTTGGGAAGATTCAGACTGCAGACCCTGTGCAGCCCAAGCCCAGCGACATTTAGTGGGTCAGTTGAAGCAACTCCATGGAGACCACCAAGCGCCCCCCTGTGAAAGATCTGTGATAGAGGCCACGGCTGTCACTTGCCTTGTGGCTGCTGGGACCTCCTGTGGGAAAGCTGGGGCTGTCAGAGTGAGCCAGGTCTTAGCCCACGTGCTAGGTCCTCAGGAAAGCGTCTGAGAGGCGCAGGGTTACCTGGGGGGATGGTGGAGGAGGTGCGGGGGCAGCGAGGTGGCAGCAGCTCACAGGATAACCGTTCTCGCCCACCCTCCGGTCTCCTCACTGGAAATGGCCACTGAAAAATGCGGCTGCCTCCTGGAGCCGTGTGGGGGGACACAGGTGGCCTTGCATGGGGCACTTGGGTGCTGCTGCTGGGCACCAACCTTGCCCTTAGAGCACTCGCTACTGGGATGAGCACAGAGCTGGTGGAGTCCACCAATCCTCGAGTGTAGAGGGTGGTCTTCCCCACCCGCCTGCTAGCTGGTGCTGTGTGGTGTGTTGCTAACACATGAGTGTTTCTGTGAATGAGTTCGGGTTTCCAACCTGTCCTTCCTCCTTCCCCATTTCTCCCTCTCTCTCTGTGCTCCTTTTTCTCTCCCTCCCTTCCTCTCCTCCTTCCTTCCTTTTTTCTTTCCACAGCACTGGGAGATGGAACGCAGGGCCCTCAGTGTGCCAGCCTCATCCCCAGCCCCGTATGTTCCTATTTGTTAAAAGTCTGTGGTGTCCTCATTGCTCCAGGACCTGGGACATGCAAGGCCATCGGCCGTGTGTGTGTGTGTGTATGTGTGCGTGTGTGTGTGTGTGTGCACGTGCGTGCATGTGTGTAAATCCAGCCTTCCCGGGTTGGCCATGCAAACCGCAGGTGAGTCATTTGGTCAGAATCAAGCCCTTGGGGCTGGACCGGGCAGGCCTGGACCCTGGCATGGAAACTCACTCCCAGGACAGAGTCCTAGAGAGCGTGTCTCAGGAGGAGGCTGGAGAATGTGGGGGAGAGGCTGTGCTGCTTGCTGTGTGCTCCCTTTGAGTTATTGCCCCCATTCTATACTCGAGAGCCTGGGTTGGTGGTGGACCAAGAAGACCTGCTAGGACAGGAGGCCTGCCGCTTCCCGAGGGGATTCATCAAAACTAAGGCTGACATTAAGAGCGGGTTGAGGAGGAAGGTGAAAGGAATAATACATTCTGGTACACTGTTATTTGTTTGGGTGTGTCCCTTAATTCCATTTTAAGAAATGACAAGGACTGCGTGTCCCTGTGATAGTTAGAAAAAAGTTAAATATGAAAAAAATTAAGCAAACAGAAGGCTTCGGATGCCAGTTGTAGGAATTCCACACCACTGGTCTGTGCTGACCTGGATCTTAGACCATGAGTCTAGGGCTGCTCCCCAAGGACCTCCTAATGCCCTGTCAGCCACCAGTCCCTACCTCCATCATGAAGATCATGGCTGTGCAGGGGTCTGGCCAGAGGAACTGTTGCTGGGGTGTTGCTACCAAACTCTGTTGAGGGCCTCACACTTTCTTTGGTGGGAAGTTTGCACTTTTTAAAAGAACCTGTTAGGTACTGGCTAGCATTCATACACTGCTTCACTCCTTGCAGACATTTCATTTACCTTTGAATATGACCCTCGTGACAAATGACCCTCACGACAACACCGCAGGCTGCTGTTTGCTACCTTTGCTTGTTACAGTTAGTGAACTAAAACTCAGGGAGGTTAGAGACAGTGCACCACACAGCCAGTTAATTAGGGGAAGAACTTTTTTGGAGCCCCTTTCAGAGGCTCCTGGAGGGATTAGAGTTTTCATGATCCATAGTGCAAATTATCTTCTGGCTCTGAGTCAGTTTGAAGTTGGGAAATTAAGTGATGCCCCAGGTGACCAAGAGTAAGTGACGGAATCTGTCACTTCATGATCTGTTTGCAGCAAGTGGGCCCTGAAGTGTGTGCACATCCCATGTGTGTGTATGTGTGTGTGTATGTGTGTGTGGGGTGTGAACTCAGGGTTCCTACAAGAAGAAAAGGAAAATGCTGCGTTATTTTCTTCTGGACCATAGTCATTTTCTGGCTCAGATAGGAGTCCCTAATATTAGGCTCAAGCACAAGGAAATAAAATTCAAATGAGTATCTCGGCTTTATTCTCCTCCACCTGTTTCAGATCTTTCTCTGAGCTGCAGCTTTCTTCCCTGCAAGGCCCTGACTCTGGCCTTGAAAAGCAGGGCTGTATCCCACGAGGCCACCTTAAGTAGATTTGGGTCTCTAGCCTCACGTCTCTGACTGCCTTGAGGGAGCGCTGTTCTTCCCTGAACACGGATGGGGAAAGGGGACCGGTTCGGATCAGATCTGAGTGGAGTGGGCAGCACTAGTGGCCCCTCATTTCCTACCGGTGATGACCCGAATTGGCTCAATGGGCTGCCAGTGCCTGCCATGCAGTACCAGTCCCAGGGCCCAGTGGGAAAGATGCCATCCCAGCTCCTAGCAACAACAGTCAAGGGAGGGGGAGCTGGTGATGCAAAGGAAACCACAACGGACAACTGAGGAAAGTCTCTGCAGGCCCTTTTCTCCCCTTGGTGGCCAGGCAGGGGCTGGTGGGTGTGGCAGGGCAACCTCCATGGGGGACACAGAGTGAGAAGGTGCCTCTGCTCCTGCTAAGGGGAAGCACACAGCCCTTCCTCCTGGTGACCCCAGGGACAAGGGGTCCTGCCTCCCTGCACCCATCGTTCTGTCATGCAGGTCACAGGCCCCAGGCCTACGCTGCCAGAAGTTCTCCCAGCAACAGCAGCTGGCGGGGAGCTGCAGGGAGCCCGCGCCACTTTCTGAAGCAAGAAGTTCTCTCTGGCACAGCAGAAAGGGCTACCCTTTGAGGTCTCTGCCCTGACCTGGTTCCACAATCAGTGCTTTGACTTTGTCTTCTCTGTCACCTAATCAGGGTGGGAACCCCCAAGAGACAGTTGGCAGAGATGAGATCAAAGAAGGCCCGGGGCTTCTGCTTCCCTTCGCTTGGCTCTAAACCCCTAATTATACTTAAAGCAAGAGAATGTCAAATGAATCAAAAGGAATAAAAAGCAACTCACCCCTGCTCCACCTGTGGGACACGGTAGCCTGAGCGTTGTAATACAGCAGCAGAAGCAGAAGTGTCTTCCAACACATGTCTTCCTCTAAGGGGCGCAAACTCAGCCTCACACCCAGGGAGAAGCCAGTAGCTACAGGTGGGCTCTTGAGTTCGTCCCAGAGGGAGACAGCCTTCTCACCACCCTCCCCTTCCAGAAGCACAACAATGTCCTGGCCCTGCCTCAGCAGGGTGGAGCAGACGGCCACCTCCTGGGTGGGACAGAGCCTGCGGCACCTTTTTAATCTGACTCTCCCTAGGGTGGTTGGGGGCCAGAGCGTCCACACAGAGGCTGTTTTTGAGCACATCTGGAGTGATTCACAGGGCATGTGATCGCCTTGGCAGTGCAGTGGATAAATATAATTTTTGTACTTGAGTTGCATGTGTTGGATGCGCCCACTGGAATTTTGCTTTAACAAACAGACCCGCGGAACTTGTTAGAGAGCCCGGCGAAGAGCTGGCGGCTCTCCCCGTCCACACATACTACATCAGAGCCAGCAGCTAGGGCTGCAGGAAGGGCTGGGAGCTTGCCTGGCGGATGCTGGTGCTGCTGGAGCCCAGACTTGCCGTCAGGACAGCACAATCACTGTAGCACCTCGCCAGTGTGTCACTGTCATCCTAGCCTGGAACTGGACCCAGGGATCTAGGGCTGGGGTCCTTCTCCAGGCTCTGGACAGGTGAGGGGAGCGTAAGGAAGCAGAAGTAGAGAGGTGACTGGGCCATGGGTGTTGTGTGCATGAACTTGTTCAGGACATTCAGGAGCTCAGGATCTACCCTCTCTGCACATTCATGATGCTCATATGAAGCTAATTCTTGTTGCTATACCAAAATGCCTGAGTCTGGGTAATTCATAAGGAAAGAGGTCATTTTTGGAAGCCCAAGAGCTTGGCACCTGCTTCTGCTCTGCTTGGTGAGGACCATATGAGACATGGCAGCACTAGAGTATTTGTGTAGGCAGACAACATAGGAAGCCTCGAGCTTCAGAGGTCCGCCAGCTCTGGTGGTAACTAACCAGGGCCCCACAGATGTGACATTAGTCTCTTCCAGTGACCTGATTCCTTTGCATTAGGACCACCTCTTAGAGGCTCTGCCATCTTTTTTTAAGGTGTGCTTTTTCATTGGTGTGTGTTTGCTATACATAATGATCACATTTATTGGGGAATTTGTGCTTGTGCGTAATATATCTTAATTTTTTTCCCCATTCTCCTCCCTTCCCTCTGATGCTTTTTCCCCTGCCCATTTACAAAAGCTTTGTTTCCATTTTTGCTTTACTTTCTTTTTTTTCAATCTTTCTCCCTTTCTTCCCTTCCCTTCTTCCTCTCTTGTTCCCCTTCCCATTTTAAGACTTTTTTCTACTTCCCAACATCTACCCTGTACATGACTAATGAACTCATTGAGAGAGAAATGATAGTATCACAATAGTACCAAGAAAAATGAAATTCTTAGGAATCAACCTGAAGTGAAAGACTCCATGTTAAAACTGAAGTGCTCTGAAAAAAGAGATCAAAAAGGACATCACAATACGGAAAGACACCCCTTGTTCTTGGCCAGGCAGAACCAATGTGGTGAAAATGGTCACACCTGCAAAATTGTTGTACAGATTTAATGCAGTCTTGACAAAATACCAATATACCAAAATACCACTATCGTTTCCTTTTCTTTTCTTTTTTGTGGTACTGAGGATCAAACCGATTCAAAGCAAAATAGTAATATTTTCCTGTGATCATTTTAAGGAACACCTTGAACATCTTGGTTTTGTCCAATACTACTTCCTTAGCTTCTTTGAAATTACAGGTGAGGAAAAGAAAAGTCTGAAGGACATTTAAAGTCCCCTTCTCTGTGGGCTTCCAGCCTATGGGGGTGGTGACCAGGGAGATTGCCTACTGGACGGGACTCTTGACGTCTCCTTTACTTCAGTCACAGTTCTCTGCTGTAAAATCTGGAGACCACTGAGCTCACTAGTATTAACAGTAGCTGTCAGGTCCTTATGTGTTTCCACAGCATGCTGGGTTTCCTCCTTGTGTTCAATATCTGCAGCGAGCTATGAGGTCAGCACTCACCAAAGACATATGAAGCAAGTCAAAAGTGTAATTTAAAATTTTCTAGTGGCCACATTCATGAAATGAAAACAGGTATACCCAGCTGTATTACTAGTGTTTATTTAGCTTCCCATATCCAACTATGAGTACTAACAAGATATTTCGTGTTCTTATGATGTCTCTAAAATCTGATGTGTATCTCATGTGTACAGCACATGTCAAGTCCTTGGGTAGCCAAAGGTGGCCAGGGACCTCCATGTCAGAGAGCCAAGAGCTGCAAGATAACAGGGAAAGCTATGGTATGGGTTTTCTCTCTTTTACACTAGCTGTGTGATCTTGGTGGAGTCCCTTAATCTCACTTTGCCTTGATTTCTCTCATCTGCAGATAATAACAGTTTCATCTGCAAGGGTTGTTTTGAGGAGTTGGCCTAACATGTATGAATGCTGACAACAATATCCTAAATGCAGTAAGCTTTCCTTGCACAGGTGCTATATTCACATAAAGAAATAGGGTCGGGGGTTGAGTATATGCCTAAGACCACCATGTACACCATGTGAGTCCATACCCCAAATGCAAAACTGCTCCCCTAGCCTGCCTCAAAGCCTTCATTTTGGGAACCCCTTAGTGGTGCTCTGGAAAACCCATTCTAGGGTTAGGGAGAAGCCTCGATTTATAGTACTTGTCAATTACCCTGGTAAAAATATTTCCACCATGGCTGACTTAAAGCCACCAATAGTTTAACAAACAGTTGCAACATTTCTGAAAAATGAGCAATCGGCTCATGAAGCGGGCTCCAGCATACCACTGCCTCTTACATTGCGAGTTCTATTTCCTCTGTGTTCCTGATGTGATGATTTCTTTTTGGATTTTGTAGCTCTGCAAGCATTGGCTAAAGCACCTAGCAAGGGACTGAGTCCCACTGAATAGTTGTCGACTGGCTCTGAACCCACAGAAGCTCGGACCAGGCTTTCTCTGGCCAACACACCCTCAAGTAAAAAGGTGCTGAGGTGGGTGGTGGATGCGCCTTGATCCAGAAAAGTAGCCATGGTCGTGGCCTCCAGTCCCAGACATTTTCATCTGTAGCCTCAAATCTCCCAGCTGTCACCTACTGACTGATTATTAAACTGGGGATTAACTTTTGGATTCAGGCTGGACCTGAATGTGTACCTCATTTTATTTCATAAGATGATGGGGTAGACCTTCTCTACCCTGCACAACTTGGCACCAGGAGGCAGTGTCTACAGTGCTCAGGGGGTGTGAAACCCTGGCCTATCGTGCCGAGTCTGTCTCCCTGCTTTTCTGGTTCCTGCTGCAGTTTTCTGTACAATGGGTCACACAGTTAGGGTCATACAAGTGGTAGGTGATAAACACTTCCACATACCAATGAGCAGGGCCTGGGATGACCAGGAGAACACTAAGGAGGTGGCCTCTATGTATGGGAAGCACAAAGTTAGATGCTGGGCAGATCTGGGGGAAGATTCTGTTTACTTTGGGGTTCTGGCATAGTGGCACCATGGGTGCTCATTGGTTTGCCATTTGCTTGTTCATTCTTGGGTTCATTATGTGGGTTTAAACATCTCTTCTGTGCTGGGGAGTAGATATAACAGGCTAAATAGGACACAGCCCCCATCAGCTCACCTCCAGAACTGTGAGACAATACATTTCTGTTACGTTAAGCCTCTTGGTTTTTAGAACTTTGTTATAGCAGCCCCAGGAAACCGATGCACAGAGAGTCCACCTAGGAGCAGTGGCCAGAACTAAAGGACACAACAAGTACAAATTGTGGTCCAGCATGGAAGACACAGGGGAATAAATACCTGGAACTCCCTCCTGTCTCACTTCCATCTCCTGCTTCCTGATAGCCTGACACATCCAGCAGCCAGAAGGCAAAGGTGCTTGGTGACGTGGCCCACAGAAATCAGCCTCTCAGGTGCAGACAAGCATGTGAGGAGTGGGTGGGTGGTGGTGTTTTGAGGGCAAGGAGAGTAGATCCCATCCTGTAAGCAGGAAAACTAATGGAGGATGAGCGTTTGAACTAAGGAATGAATGGGCGGGAGTGTGATGGAGACAGAACACCAGGTGTCCCTCGGTCCTGGGAAGCAGATGATTTAACGGGCGGTGCTATTTTCTGTCAGCAGGTGAGAAGGAGTCCCAGGTTTGAACACTTAGGACTTCTCTTTTTTGCTCCCAGCCCTCCTCTCTGGCTCTGTGTCCAGATTTGGAGTCTGGAGAAGTCTGTCTCTTTGTTCACACAGCCAGCACCTTTAGACTGGGTTCTATTTTAAGGCTGTGAAGTGAGGTAATTTGGTATGACAACAGAAACACAGCTGTAATTACAAAGTGCCAACATTCAAAGCAGAAAAGTCATCTGGCCCCAAAGAGCTGTCGACGTGAATGACTTGGAGGACGTGCGTGCTGGTGCTGGAAAGGGCCAGAGTGTCCTCCTGAGATGCAGAAGTCCGTGCGGATTGTGCTTTTTTCCCAGAGAAAAGGACCTTTGGGGGATTCTGCTCCTTGGTGTATATAAGGCTTGGACATCCAGCTGCTGCTACCAGCTGTGCTAACTGCTGTGATAGCACAGGTTAGAGCCACCGGCAGATGGGCCAGCTGAACAAATGGGCCAGAAATCCTCCACTGGAATGCTGTCAAGTTCCCCTGCTCTGGCAGAGCCCCTGAAGTGGGGTTTATGTGCCGGCAGGCATCTGAGATACGTGGCAGTGTGTGGACCAAAGTGTAATATCCTTTCTAAATGCAAATGTCTTATCTGGGGCAGGCCGGAGAGACAAAACCACATTGCTACTTGACTCACTGCATCTGGGATCATTAAAAGAACAAGTTATGGGCTGGGGATATAGCTCAGCAGCATAGCACCTGCCTGGCAAGTGTGAGGTCATGAGTTTGATTCCTGGTACCAAAAAAATAAAGAAAAGAACCAGTTACACTATTTGCTTCTAGGTTTCTTTTGTTTTGCTTTATTGAGGAATCCTGCCCAAACAAGGTCATAGAATGGGTTGAGATTTAGGTAGAACAAATTCAAATTATTCCATTCATCCCCAGGCTTTCTAATTTTACCAATTATGTTACTTCTTCCTTTAGAATTCTCTTCAGATAGTAAACCTTCCTGAGTGTCCGCCAGGCACTGTGGGGCAAAGGTAGGTGATGACTACGTCACTTGAGAAATTACTATTATTTTTTCTTCTTTAGCAAAAGAGCTGCCCATCAGGTTCTGCAGATGCTGAGTGGGAAGGACATAGAGGGAAGA